TCCGACTTTGAGTTGATAACACCGAATTTCCTGTTTGCCTCTCAAAGAGAAGAACCGAGGCTTAGGTTCCTCTTTTTGGCTCTGAGATTCAACTTTAAGATCGGAGTTCGGAGATCCTTGCGTCGAAGATCATGTAAGTGTAACATCAGTACCGGAGATCAGACTTTTTGCTTGATATTGGACCTATAAATCTAATTATATATTCGAAACAGCACGGGATGTAACCAAGGTTAATTTAGATAAGATATACCAGCTTTCGGGGTTGCAAGACCTTATGAAAGGCAGGCAGAGCATCCTAAATCCTCATGCTATCCTCACGTTGACCATCTAGGTGCAGACTCTAGCTATTAGGCCCGAGATCCTCCCTTGTCCCGTAGTGTCCCGTTAGTAAGAGATCGTTCAGATTTTTGTCATTAAGACCCCCTCCCCGCTCTAAAATCCACTTTACCCACAGCTGGAAACATTTCACATGTGAAACCTAAATAGCCAAATCAGCATCTCGAGACCTTCTATTATATAAACTCCTTGATCCTACTATAAGCTTATAACTTATAAGGCATTGCATGCCGAAATTAAGATTCACCTCAACTGGTGATATGAACCTGGTATGTTACCTGAATGCCCTCAGTCAAATCTCGAACCCTGCTAATGCTATTCTGCCAAGTAACCTTTATCTGAGGTTCTAGAATTACAGTTTTAATGTTCTAGTATTTGTGCCCATGCCCCAGATAAGATCTCGAGGCAGCTCACTGCTGTAATAACAGAAGAACTAGCCAGTCAATGACACACATTATCATACGATGGGAAAATCTATGCGACTGAAAAAAAGGATATGGGGTCATTCTGAAGTACTGGTCAGTACTGGTCAGTGGTCAAGCAACAATCTGGCCCGGAAACAGTGCCGAATTATTTCAGGTCCGGTATTCTTAGTACATTATACATATCATGGTTAAGTTTCATGGCATGAATAAATAGAAAGTTGAATTTTTGTCATTACATTTTGGCTAAATTGGTGCCAATAAAAAAGTGTTGGAGTTTTCACAAATCATGCAGTAGTTAAACTTATTCACTAATCACTCCTAAAGTGAGCGTTTTTGAGTATATGATGTGCATGAGTCGGCAATTTCAAACAATTTACTGTTAGCAACTGACCCATTGACCTTTACTAAAGAAACCGTAATTTTGAAAAATCGCCCTTTCGTAAGACACAAATATGCTGCTGGCCTGGCCCATTAAGAGAGATGCCCAATAAAGTAGATCATTCTCTAATTTTTGTAGGTGTTTCTGGACACAAAGTGACTCATCTTACATCTTGTGACAAATGCTATGTTGCTCATGAGTCTTTAAGACCGTTCTAGTTAACAGTCCAATAGCCCATTTGTGAATATTATCGCTCAGCAAAAATCCGTTTTTCAGCCACATTTCCGAAAATAAGCCTTTTAGGGTATATGTTGCTTCATAAGTTGTATATAAATGTGGCCATTATGTACATTTTAGTGTATCAGAATAGTCTCTACGACCTTCCTAGGCGGAAATGCCAAAAATCACGGAAATTTGAACTGCGTCAAGCCAAAAACCGTTTTTCGGCCATATTTCCGAAACGAAGCATTTTAAGGTATATGTTGCTTCATAAGTTGTATATAAATGTGGCTATTAGGCACATTTTGGTGTATCGGAATAGTCTTTAAGACCTTCCTGGACTGAAATACAAAAATTCGAATGACCGCGAAACCCTGAAAAAGGGTGTGGCCGAAAACGCCCTTATTGCATTTATTTCAAAAATGCAATAAAGTCCAAATGTTTTGAGAATCATCTAGAGAGGTGATAACCGTTGAGAAATCGCTTTTAACACGAAAAGCTAACGAGATTCCGTTTCGTCTCAGACTAAGAATGAAATTGTTCATTCTTGATATGAGACCGAGATCAGAGGGTGGCTACCCAGTTTGCTAGTCACCATGGCCCTTTAGCTTCAGAGTGAAACGCTGGAATCTGGAATAGTTTGCAACAAATCGTTTGGCCATGAAACAGTGAACAGAAAGAAAAAATCAGAATTTACGCATGTAAAAAAGACGGTTTAATGTCCTAACAGAAATTATACAAACATAATTTTATCAACAAATAAATTTTGCTTCACTGCACAAGCCTATTGACTATTGAGGTAGTATGAAACGGAATAGAAAGAAAGTTATTTAAAGAATGGCCAAAAATGGAATAAATTGTTTCTTATTTCACCGTGTTGCTATTTTCGATTAGAAATCGGTTGATTTAACAATGGAACTAACTACACAGAGAGAACTAAACAATTATTTAAAAACTAAAAATAGAACGATTTTCATTCAAAGCTGTTGTTTTTTGTTTCCATAAACTTTCCGACAAAGTTAACACAGGATTGTCTGTGCGCCTAGTGTTTCGTCACCGTCTATTATAGACAGAAGATATTTATAATATCTTCTGTATTTATATTTATAGTAGCTGGGCATGATAGTCAATACTGACATCCATATGGCTCTAAGGTCAAATGTCTTCCATACTCACGTTTATGCAATTTCATACATAACTTGATATAATTTTACATAACAATGACTAAGAAAATAATATGTTATGACCAAAAACGAGTGGAAACTATAATTTGAATACAAAAAATTGCCACCCAAAATTTCAAGCTCTCAACATATTCATGTTCAACAAATAACATACAGATCACAGATCCTGTTACATGTAAAATACCCCACCCAAATTATATTGACTGCTTAACTGAATGGATACGACATATCATGCAATGGACCTCAGAATTAAATCTTAAAGTTACTTCAGAACGCTATAAAAGTCAGATATTATTTAACATTGTGATCTGTCAAGATCAGTACTTATGAGGAAGTAAAGGGAGATTGTAAGTAGATACCAATTTAAGTACTGTCCACTTCCTCAATCAATTAAAGATGACACCATGCAATGGACCTAGGCCCCGAACGCCCAGTCAGTTACAATCTTCAGAGATGGTTCAGTTATGTGGATTTATTGAACTATAGGCACAGAAATGTGGCTAGGGGCTGATCTACTATCTTGCAATGCCTTATGTATATTCAATATTGAAATAATTGTGAGTAAGTGTTTCCTTAATCACTCGTGACTCGATCACGCATCCTCAATGATCACGAACTAGAGTTTATGTGGTTAACCAGAAAACAATTGAGGCAGGACAGACGATTTAAACTGGTTCAAATAAGGTCAGGTAGCGTAGTTGGTTGATCATCGGATTTGTAATCGTAAGATTGCGAGTTCGAATCCCACTGCCTGCCTAGTCGTGGGGTGAGCGTCGTTGACGCTCTGCTAAGGATCCCGAGTGGTCTATGTAGCCCCACGGTTCACTCAGCCGAATGCTCGAGAAATCGGGTGTGAGGGTTAAATGAGGAGCTGTGCTTGATCAACACAGCGAAGCCTCGGGCGAAGAAAGTGTGGCATAGTGCCTTAACCGTTGCTGGCCTTAGGAACGATCCTTCGGCTTCTTGTAAAGCTCTTCCTTGAAAGTGCTGGTTTACATTGTAATGCAGGTAATGCCGAAGTAAAATAACAAAGGTGGTCGACTCATTCGATAATCGATGGCCTTGTTGCGTCGCAACGAATCCTCATAAGATAAGATAAGATAAGATAAGTCTTTCAAAAATTATTGTTCGAATTCAATAAATAAAGCATTTTACCATCTAATGATTATGATCGTGACAGCACCATCAAAATCCTATTACCATATGATTATGTTCTGAGGCAATCAACACAAAATAAGATAAAGAAGTGATATCTTGTAAACAGATATCATGAAACCGACAAATGTGAAATGTTTATGGCTGACTGATGATAGCCCCTTGAACTGGTTTCAAAGGCTGAAATTCCAACAGCGATCTTTCAGAATAGTTAAACAAAAGATCCGCTCTTCAGTCAATAAAGAGCTCGCTCAACATCTTGACGCTGTCAAACTGTTAATTGAAGTCGTTTCCAAGAAGGAATTTGTTCGATACAATAAAAATCAATGACAGAAAATTTAACAACACCAGGTGAGATTAGAGCTTTATTTTCCATGTGGTCAATTAAAATTATTGGAATTGAGGGGAAGGAAACAAAGGGAGCTGAGTTAAACACTTGAATCGTTATTATATGGTTAAGAAGGATGATGACTGCTAGACTATACCGTAAGTCTACCTTCACCAAACATTGACTAACTTATTCCCCGCTGTAAATTCTTCACATTCCAACAGTCTCTGGTAAACAAACAGCCCATTATCCCAGTCAACATGTCAATTTTCAGCTGGCATGTTTTCAGGTGAGTGTCAAACTGTGAACATTTTAAGTATCGAAGTAACTTTCCCTAGTTCGGTATTTTACATGCCAAAAATCTTTAACAACTTGTTATCTTGAACAGATTGTTTTCTCTAACAGACTGTTATCTCTAACACACTGTTATCTCTAACAGACTGTTATCTCTAACAGACTGTTATCTCTAACAGACTGTTATCTCTAACAGACTGTTATCTCTAACAGACTGTTATCTCTAACAGACTGTTATCTCTAACAGACTGTTATCTCTAACAGACTGTTATCTCTAACAGACTGTTATCTCTAACAGACTGTTATCTCTAACAGACTGTTATCTCTAACAGACTGTTATCTCTAACAGACTGTTATCTCTAACAGACTGTTATCTCTAACAGACTGTTATCTCTGACAGACTGTTATCTCTGACAGACTGTTATCTCTAACAGACTGTTATCTCTGACAGACTGTTATCTCTAACAGACTGTTATCTCTAACAGACTGTTATCTCTAACAGACTGTTATCTCTAACAGACTGTTATCTCTAACAGGTTTTTATCTCTAACAGGATGTTATCTCTAATAACTAGTTATCTTTAACAGATTGTTATCAGTGATATAATAACAGACCTTCGGTTTAAAATTTTTACCTGACCACGTCCCTGTAAAAGATCAACTAAATAATTCCAAACTCACCTCTAGTTTAGATATGGTAGTATTAGCAACATCCAACTTGCCGGTCATCACATCTAAATCCCTCTTGTACTGATGCTGAATCTCTGATGCGTACCCTTCCCGGTCTGAAATAATTGGCCAAATGTTAATTGAGTGAAATGTCAGACGCGATGGTGGAACAAAAGATCCGCTCTCAATTCAATAAAGAGCTAGCTTAACATTGAGACATTGTCTAACTGTTAAATATAAAATAGTAAGTTCTTTTGCACTTCAATCCGCTGAAAATCAAAAGTATTTAACACTAGGTAGGTAGAAGTTACAGCGACAGTTTCTATGTGGCTAGCCGTTAATAACAATAGATGTATATAAAAGAGAGGAAATAGATGGAGTATAACTTCGATAGTAATTTATAGTTAACTTATTCTGTATTATGCCGTGATGGATAGCTGCAATACGACCGTGGTCTTGTTATGAAATGATCCCCCCTCCAGCTTGTCTCATGGTTTAGTCGCGATACTTTATTAACCGCCTGTTCAGTATCAAGCTATCAATATTGGTCTTGGAATCTCCAGATAAAAAGTAGTTGTAGCAGATATGGATCTCTTTTTTTTTTCTTTAACTGAGCCTGATATTTAAATGAGACAAGACCTTATCCTCACATTTAATATTTAGCGTGTATTCCGTCACGCACTGTTTCCACAACTCCAACAAAACCCCTCTAATAACATGTGAAGAACTAGACTTTGTCGGGACACTTCACTTCTTTTCCGTCCGTTTCAGGGCATTTTTCGATTAAAACATGTCAGCGGGGCCGAGATGGGCGGAATACGACACTGTAAATGCTTAGCGTGAACTCTAAATAAATCGTTCTGCGTTTATCTGATGAGTCAGGGTGCGGGGTATCAGATATGTCAAAAGAAAGTCGGAGAATGAGATGTCACGAATTTGTCGATAATACAACAATTGCAGATGAATATTAGATAGGAAGCTGGCTCCCTCTTTGCTGTAAGTTACCATCCAATCCAAAGACCCGGAAAGCTAGGTTTCACTGATACCAAATTGACAAATTTGAATTGAGTTTTAGGCCGACAAGGGATCTTTGATAGACGGGACGGTAATCAATTGCCAATTCAGGGTAGACTACAGAATTGTAAGTAGTTAAAGTTCCAAACATGGCTCCGAGTCAGTGTAGTCGCGGTGAAATGATCGGGTCTACGTTTAAGCGATAACTCCCAGACTAGCCCTCCTCACAATATCGGAGCTAATGCAGCTACGACTCCGAGACTAGCCCTTCTCACTTCTCAGCCCTACTCAAAAAAGTGGACCTAATGCCGCTACTCCACTCCGAGACTAGTACCCTTCTCAAGCTTCACTGCTACGACTCCAAACTTCTGCAGCGATATGAGTGGATTGCGTGAGCTATATCTACAATATCATACAGTTTCCAGTTGATGAGGTTATCAAGGTGTCGCCACCTTTCAAGTAGTTAATACGGTAAATTAAATTTAATGAGATTTTAATAATTACAGAACTAACCGACCGACAAATTCATTCGTTGATAGAAACGCTGCAAATTCTTCAATGTTACGCATGATCTCAGATATTGATAATATACTACATTGAGATGCTTTCCTTAATTGGCTCAATGACGAAGCGATTCATACTTGTAACAGTGAGTAGCAGCCACTAGCAGCCACTAGCATCACTATATTCAGAGGAACCGTTAGAGAAAATCGTGAATTGTGTGGACCTAAGACTTTTCGACTTTTATTACAAAATTATTGAGATGCAGAAAATATACGACAAATTATGCGCTCCACAAACACCGCAATTTAATGGTGCCTCTACTGCTGCACTATGTATGTATGTACAATGTACATCCCAGTGACTGACAGTTGGCCCTACTTTACACACATATATAATTGTCAATGGTTTAAAATGGGGTACAAGTCACAAGATGTAGTTACAGTCTACACACGTGTGTACAAAGTACACGCCACACGTACTATATATATATATAACACGTACTATATAATGTTGCTGAGGTGTTAAATTTCAGAATACCAATCAGGGTATCCACCACAGTTTAAATTAGAAGATAACAACTGATATAACAACATTGCAGACTTGAAACAAACCTGAAAGTCTCCAAACCCAGGAAGTTTTTTTATTTCCTGGCAGTTCAATTTCTCTCCCCTAAAAGTTTTCTTTTGCCCTAAAAAATGTCCTCTCCAGCACAAAATTTCCTCTTAAATCCAAAATTTCCTTGCAGCCAGACTGCGGTGTTTCTGGTTGTGGGCTCCAAACCCCAAAATAAAGACTGACCTTGCTGGAATTGTTCCAGAACAATTTGAAGGTTGGAGAGAGATGACTGACAGGACGCTGCCGAGTCCCCCGCAGAGCTGACTTGTTGGAGCGCGGTGTCGCGCTGTTTAGTCAGCACGTGCACTTGGGATGTCAACTCTGATATCTTGTGGGAGCTCTCCGCTCTGGAGGCAGGTTTTGTTAAGTTGGAAATACGTGACTTCACCAAACTAGAACTATCGTAGCAAAAATAGTGAAAGTCGGATGTGAAAATAGCTGTACCCGTCCACAATTATTAGAAAGTAAGCTCATTTCAGTGAAGGGTCATCGTATTTTTCTTATCTCATACTGAATACTCTCATACTAGTTTACCTGACAGAATGAAGAGACTGGTTGGCAGTGAGTATCTGTTCTCTAAGTCCAGCCACCTCAGCCCGGAGATCCTGCTCGCTTCGTGTGGCTAACAAATAATCCTCAGTGTGAGTTTCCTCAGCTTTTACCAGATGCTCCTGCAGCCTGTACATGTGATGTAGTTTGTTATAATTAATTAAAATATGTTATGTTGTTATAATCTGATTTAATTTTGTGAGTATCTCGACCATGGCGTAAAACCTGGACTGTGGACAGTATTGTTTGGTATAATCATTTCTTTAAACGTTATTTTATCAGGAGTGGCAGAATCTCTGGGATGAGTGAGATATAACTGTTTTCTTTTTATTCAGTAAAATAGATATAACATTTTTTTGACTATTTTATATCAACTATTACAATCGCTGAGTATTTTAGGACTGGTAATCTTATGACCATGCCTGTTGATTATTAATATCAGTTGACACAATAATAATGAAATTTTAGTTTGATAATTCTGTAGTTTAATAATTCTGTTATCTTTGCAGATCGTAATTTTCGTCTGGATTACTCATTACATCATACCTTAAACTGTGTCATGTAATAGCATTATTTAAACAAAAATTACTTTAAAATTCAAAATTAAATTTCTGATGCTTCCCGAATTTAACACAATAAATTAAGTTAATGAAAAGTTCAGTACAACGTCAAATGAACGATCTGCAAATTGTGATCAACTGAAGAGCATTCTCATTTCCCAGCTAAAATTGCCGAGAATTTGCAATTTTAACTTTATCGAAGACCAGTCTTTGTCATTCGTCATTCAAAACCAAAATTATTCCTCAGACACAATTACTTCTTTTTTTCAGACCTTCCTTTTCGTCGGACATAATTTTCGTCGGACATAATTTTTGTCGCATTTTTCTAATGATATTCGAAATTATTGTCATTACAGCGGACTAAAATCATAAATTATTTTTCCACTAAGGCATCCACGTTTTCACAGTATACTCGTATAAATCCTACTGAGCGACTAAAACTAAGGTGTGTGGATATTGTGCAAGCCATGGTGTAATGGTCTCAGTAATTATGGAATAAAAATACGGCTAGACAGCTGTTTTGCGACACGGCTTTGACTTTTTCGCTTGAGCCGCGCAATTATTCAGAATTAACTATCAACGATATACAAGACTATCGATATAACGCTAGGTAACCAAAATTCCTGTATTTGTTTAAATAATCTTCAACACACACCAAAAGGTAACTCCTTAATTCTAAAATTACAACAATTACCGGAACTATTTTAATTACAGACGAGTTTACAACAAACCTTTCGAGCTCGGTCGCGGTCTTCTGCTCACGATCATTGACATCTGATATCAGTTTGTTAGCTTCCGCTCGTAGGGCTTCCATGCTTTCGTGAAGCTTCTTGGCCTGGAAATGATGGGAAACTAGCGGCAAACTACCGGTTAAGGGGCTTTGATCGAGTCGGGTGGAGTTGTAGTTTAGAGGAATGTTCTCATATTATTCTAATTTTAATTATCAGCACTACTCGGACGTGATTCCATATAAAATATCGAGACGATTTATTTTGATTATCATATCCAGACATCTCTATCTGTAGACAACAGTATTTCGTCGCAATATTTTGAGAATTGGAAGGGTGTCTTGTACTGGAGGCGTTAAAGTAACGAATGATAACAAAATATTATGGTCCAAGATAAGATCACGGAAAACTTGTAAAACTTAGATCACGTTACAGCTAATTAAATAAATAATACACATCAATTAAATAATCCACACCTGATCCTGATAAAAGTCTCGCTGGTGGATGATCTCCAAGTTCTGCTGCTTCATACTTTCCAACTCCTTATCCGTATTTGTGCAAACTTTCTGTAGCCTCATGTTTTGGTCTATGAGCTTATTCGTTTCGGCTTCACTGAGAGACGCGTCTCCTGCACTCAGCATCTGAGATAGTGTCATAATTAGTAGCTATTATTGTGAATTACAATGTCTACTCGTCATTACAATTATGCATAGTTGCACAATAGATGCTATAGTTACAGTATTTTTCATGATGAAACTTTAGAATAGGCCATATAGGATAGGATTTAGTGGCTGTTAACCACATTAGGATTATTAAAAAATAGAGTTAGAATTGCTCAAATTTTATGAGAAATTGTTTCCAATTGCCATGGAAAAGAACAGCATTCAGACGGTCATTTCATAATCAATTTGACATGCATTCCAGCAATTAGTTCATACTTTGTCCGACAAATAACCCAATAATTTATGACGTACTTCAATTTTAAAATGCACTTTTAAATTTGGTACTTAAAATTCGTACCATTTTAAGCTTTATTGCAATTCATTCAACTTCAAAAGTAAATTTTCAGGTAAACATCAACGTTTCATTCATTGCAATCTACAACGAATATTTTATTAACTTCTAGTTAACAACCGTGACGTTGATACTGTAGATTATAGCCATTTATATTGGGACTTGGGTAAAATATTGGTCGCAATCTAAATTATTAAATGCTCCATTTTTGATCCAAAACTTGCGTTCTAAATAACCTTTTATTTATCAAATTTTCGACGTCTGGATCATTTAGTGTCGCGACAACCAAATTACAGAACGAAATATCGGTGCCGAAAAATTGTTCAATTTAAATAGCTAAACTCCACCGCGAACTATAGCATAAAATACAGTACGAAAAGCGACCGCAGTAAAATGTTCCCATAAATAAAGAAGATTGGCTCTACCTCAGCCTCTATTAAATCCAGCTTTAAGTCTTTGTCCCTAACAATCTCCGCAAGCTTTCCACATCTCGCTTCAGCGTCCCTGACTTTCTGAGTTAGTTCCTCTATTTGCTGTGTCAAACTTGTGACGTTACTGGATACGTACGGTGTGACGTCATTTCCTGTGACGTAATTCGCTGTCTCGACTGTTGAGGAGGGTGTGGAAACTTCACTCAGTCCCAATCTTGCGGCCTGAAAAAAGCGGTCACTCAACAAATCTTAGATAGTTTTAAACCAATTACAACACTACAAATCTATTACATTTATTGAGAATTATGTAATGTAACGTGATGGAAATATTTTAAACGGGACATCCTGTCCAAACCCAGTATGCATTACATGAAGAATTCGTTGTAACTTTATTTGAAAAGCATTAATATATATGTATATATTAATGCTTTTCAAACAAAGTTACATATATATATACATAATGATTCAAAGCTCTGATAAAATATACACCTGCGACCTTCGACAACCCTTAAAGCCCCAAAACCTGACCACTACTCTAACGCTGGGTAACACAGATAATCCCAACTAAAACCACCTTAAACGAAATCTTTCAAAAAGTTTCAAAGAGTAAAACTTTCATTTCACATTACACGTGACCACACCCATTTCAACTCAATCCCACCTTGTATTCGTCAGTCTGGTTGCTCCTGAAGAACGCCACCAGCTCATTTGACTCGACCAGCTTCTTCTCCACCCCGGTCACCTGATCTGACAGTTCTTCTATCTTAGCGTCTTTAACCTCCAGTCGAGCTAGTGCCTGTAATAGTATCACGTGATTAAAATGATAAGTCGAGATAGTGCTTGTGATAGTATCACGTGATTAAAATGATAAGTCGAGCTAGTGCCTGTAATAGTATCACGTGATTAAAATGATAAGTCGAGCTAGTGCCTGTGATATTATCACGCGATTAAAATGATAAGTCGAGCTAGTGCCTGTGATAGTATCACGTGATTAAAATGATAACTCGAGCTAGTGCCTGTAATAGTATCACGTGATTAAAATGATAAGTCGAGCTAGTGCCTGTGATATTATCACGTGATTAAAATGATAAGTCGAGATAGTGCCTGTGATAGTATCACGTGATTAAAATGATAAGTCGAGATAGTGCCTGTGATATTATCACGTGATTAAAATGATAAGTCGAGATAGTACCTGTGATATTATCACGTGATTAAAATGATAAGACGAGATAGTGCCTGTGATATTATCACGTGATTAAAATGATAAGTCGAGCTAGTGCCTGTGAAATTATCACGTGATTAAAATGATAAGTCGAGATAGTGCCCGTGATAGTATCAGTTATCACGTGATTAAAATTGTATCTCAGGACAGTGCCACTAGTACAGCCAGTACCTCACCGAGTTAAAACATTATCAAGATCAGGTCTAGCCGTTTTATTGAGACAAAGTTCACAGATAACAGGTTAATTGTAACTGAACTCGTACGAGATAAGTTACATATTAACTTGATTTATTGATATTACAGGCAGGTTTAAGTCGAAGTATTACAGTTGGTGCGGTCAGCTAGAATATATAGTTGTGCATAACCTCTACTATAAGACCGAATCTTCAATTCTGTCAAATTCAAAAGTGCTCGTCCAGAACGTCACGAGGTTCATGAACTTTGACTTTTGGAGTTATGAGACGTTTAATTAATGATGGACTATTAAATCAAAAGTGCAACCCACGACGCATCTGAGACCTAAATAAGTTATAAGTTAAGTTATAAGTTAACCAGTTAACCAGTTAATACAAAATTCAGCCTAAAAGTTTCGTGCTCAAGGCTAACCACAACAACACCCAATAAACTTCTTACTTTCTTCAGGTTTTCTGAAACTTTAGCGAGTTTATTTTCCGTATTTTCCTTCTCACTCTGAACAGTGGTCACAGCCCCCTTCAGGTCCTCAACCTGTCCCTCCAACCGCTCTTTGTCTGACACCACTGTTGTGTACTCCTCCTCTACAACCGAGGTCTCGTCCATTAGTCTCTCTATTTCCATTAGCAGCCGGGTTTTTTCTTTTTGAGCTGCGGGATTTTGGATTATTTTTTCGAGTATAAGTACATTTTCGATTTTGCAGAAAGCCCGTAACGTGTCGAGTAGATAGCGAGTGGAGATGATAGATAAAACCACGATAACAGTATAGGCCATAATGACAGTATAGGCGGGGGGGGATCGGGTACCAAGTGTCGGACATCACGTCGACTAAGTGTAGTTTTGGATATTTTTCACTAGACACACCCACCGGGGGGGGGGGGGGCCAATGGCATAAAATGGCATAAAATGGAGACTTTTTCTATGGAGAAAATGGAAAAACCCATGAGTAATTCTCCATTTTCTCCATTTTATGCCATGAATTTTGTCTTCGAAATTTCATCTTTAACACCATTTAACACCTAAATTGGACATCCTAACATGTTTATTTACGCTTACTAGGGGCGTAAAGCTCATAGTAGGCTACTAGATGCTTATACTAGGTTAGTAGAGGCACACTTCAGGCAAACTCATAATTACTCAAGCCTAGTGTAAAGTTATTTCTACAGGCTACAGCAGGAGTGAGTAATAGGGGAGAGTAATAGGCACTGAGAAGTGAGACCTACATCCTCGAAAGTCGAAACAAGCTCGCACTGCAAAGGGGAGGCCTGCCTTCCGAGATCGCATTACCAGGGGGAAGCCTCGAGTCCAAATTTGTGTATCGACTATCGAGGGGTAGGTGCAGAGACTTCGATAAACCGAAAAACCAAAAAAATATTTTCGGCTAATAATGAAGAGGGTAGCATAAAACGTGGAGAAAAGTGGTTTTTAGAAAAACTTTGAAACATTTTGACTTAGAAAATTTTCGGCCCGAGTCATTCTCGATACGTACCTCTCGTATCGAGAGCTCCCGATTCCGAGCTCGTGTTGCAAAGGGGAGGCCTGCCTTCCGAGATCGCATTACCAGGGGGAAGCCTCGAGTCCAAAATTGTGTACCGAGGGGTAATTTTCTAAGTCAAAATTTTTCAAAGTTTTTCTGAAAAACAATTTTCTCCACGTTTCATGCTACCTTGTTCATTATAAGCCGAAAATATTTTTTCGGTCAAAATTTTTCAAATTTTGTCTGAAAACCGCTTTTCTCCACGTTTCATGCTTCCCTGTTCATTATTTGCCGAAAATATTTTTTCCCCTCCATACACAATTTTGGACTCGAGGTAATGCGATCTCGGAAGGCAGGCCTCCCCTTTGCAACACGAGCTCGGAATCGGGAGCTCTCGATACGGGAGGTACGTATCGAAAATGACCCGAAGTCAACATTTTTCAAATTTTTTCTGAAACCACTTTTCTCCATGTTTCATGATACTCTGTTCATTATTGGCCGAAAATATCTTTTTTTAAATAATTTTTCTCGAAATTCTAAATTTTTCAGGTTTTCAATGGCATAAAATGGCATAAAATGGCATAAAATGGAGACTATTTCTATGGAGAAAATGGAAAAACCTATGAGTAATTCTCCATTTTCTCCATTTATGCCCTTGGCCCCCCCCCCCCCCCCCACCCACCCCCTTTGCGGTACTAACTGTTTTTTTGGATAATACGTAAGACACCCACCCCTTTTGCCGCCTTTTGCGGTACTAACTGTCGAAAAATCGTGGTACTAACTGTTTTTTGGTATATAGAATAAGATACCCACCCAGAAATTGCTTTTTCTTAAAGAGCTCATTTAAACTTTAAAGGAAGACTTTACAAAATTTTTTAAATTTTTTTTAAAACCCAAAAAAAAACCCAAAAAAAAAACCTCAAAACCCATTCCCAAAATTGAAATTTGAGGTAAAATGGGTTTTTTGGGGTTAGACACCCCCTTTAGTACCATGTACTAACTGTTTTTTCTGGAATATGGGCAGTACCCCCCCCCCCCCCCCCCCCCGGTAAAGGCCATAATTTACGTTGTTTGGAAATATACAGGTGCTAACAGGAATAAATCTGATGAATTTGCTAAATATAGTACTAAATTTTGGCCCGTTATGTACTTTAGGATGTTGCTTGTCGAAACAAATGGCTAATGACTAATCGAGAGCCTTTTATACGGTGTGTGGGCCTCTAATTTTTGTTAAATATAGTTTTGCCCTGTATTTTAATTGTTGATGGCTTTAAATTTCTAACAATACCTTTCTCCGTATATTCAATCATCGTCTTCTCAAACTCAAACTCTTTATCTGCAGAGATAGTCGAAATCTCAGCCACCGATTTCTCATTTTCAGATTTCTCAGCCATCTCATTTTTCAGTTCAATATTTTCTACAGTCAGCTTTGAGTTTTCCTCCCCCAAAATCTGTAACGTAAAACCTTCAATAAATACTTAAAAATCAGATAAATTGTTTCCCTTTAAAAACAAAACAATCCAGGAAGACCGAAATGATAAGAAAAATATATTATTATTAATATTTATCTGAACTTTACCCTTAAGTGATTACATCCAACTTGATGAGCGTTTCTAAAATTGCCAGAGTGTTAATTTGCAAAAATTCCTTCCATGTTCCCAACTCATTTATGCGAATTTGATGAGTAAAACGCCTTCAGTGTATCGTGTCATGGCTTCAAGTCTAAAAAGAAAATCAACACTTCTTGGCATCGCACTATGAAGCCGAGATGTGGCAATTTTCGGAGACGTGGAAAAGCAGAAAACCAGTGCGAAAAGGGGGAGATAACACCGCGTATTTATTGACATAAAATTTAGCTGTTTGTTAAGTCTAGCGCCCGATATACATCAAACACAGATTGTGTCTTTGGGAAGTGATTACTTGTTGAATCAATTGCCGTGGCATGTAACTTTGACAAGGATGTCTTGAAGCTTTCAGGGCCACACTACACCATCCACCAGTCTTTACAATCAGTGTAAAACTAGACGGCTGCAAGAAAATTAATTTCTAAAAATGTAAACTTAGTAAGTCTAGGTTTAGAAATAATAGCCCCCTACTTGGACTGGTTTACCCAGTATTCTGAAGTTTTTTCTCCCGTCTCCCATTCCAGTTCCACCATGCTAATTGTCACATGATAAACAATTATAATTATACCTCTAACGAGGATCCTTGCGGTTCAGCTACGTCAACACTAGATCAACCCTTCAGATAAAAAGAAGCCGAGAAAGTCAAACATACCACAATCTGTAGGTTCAGGTCTTCACATTCTCTACCAGCGTTGTCGATTTGTTCATTTAGAGACGCAACCATGACGTTGTGTGCCAATTTTAGATCTGATAAGGCTGTGTCGTGTTCTGACGGTGATATCATCTCTTCCTGGTCAGACTTCAGCTTGGAGATTTTACCTGAAATTAATTTGGTTCATTTAGATTAAAGCGGATGTTTTTCAAGAATTTGGAATGAAATAAAAAGAAAAAAACGATTGAATGAGAATAAACACAATATACACTGACACATAAAATACGATAAAACCAGGTAAAAACTTCGGAATAAATAAAAAGAATTGGGAGAAAGAAATAAACAGGTACCTTGCAGCATGCGCAGTTGCTCCGACTTGTCCGCTAGCTTTCGCTTCAGTTCCCTCATCTCTGAGGAATTACAAGATTCACTATCCGTCGGTTTCTCTCCCGATACTATCTCTTTGATCTCTACCATCTGAGATTCGGTTAGTTGAGCCTCCAAGATGAAAGATAGCCCATTTTGTTGGATTCGAGCTTGTTCCGCTGATATTCGCTTCATTTCCTTTTGCAGTTTGGTGCTTCCTTCCCGAACTTTCTTTGAGTCTACCACTAATTCTAATTTTTCTGAAATGGCATTTCATCGTTTAGTTACCATCAGTGCTATAAGTGCACGATTTAATAACCATCAAAATTTTATCTGTATTTTTAAAATTTTTGGATAGTAAATAACATTTTAAAAGTTAATAAAACCCTTAAAAAGTAAAACCAAACCTTAGTTAAACATATTTCAAGTACCTGCTTTGAGCTGGTTACACAGTCTAACTACTGTCTGATGTTCACTCTGAAGAGCCTCCAGTTTCTCTGTGGTGTCCGATCCAGACCTTCTCAGTGATGAAGAAGATTCTTGTAATTCTGATATGAAATCATCTTTTGTTCTAACCTGCGAAATGAAAATGTCTCTTTTTATTAATATCACTGATGTTTAGCTGCTGTATATTGTATGATCATAATGTTACTGCTAGGTTGTCTTAAAATGTGGGGTGCTCTAAGTGAGCTTTACGGTACAATTATTGAAATATGCTCATAAGTATAATAATTTATGCACATTACACTATTACACAAAATACGTAACTAAAAGTAGAGATTGCATACTGAATGGCTCACATATTACGTAAGCCAACCTAGGGAAATGTGGATTTGGCTGGTGTAATTTCTCTAAAAAGGGTTCTGTAAAATGGCTTACGGAGGGGAAGGGGTGGGAGTATGGGTAAAAGGTCAGAATCAGGCTTACGTAATACGCGAACAGTCCCTAATGAGATCCATCACCTACGCTGACCTAACAAATACACATCACACGTTTGAGTATATACCTGAAGTTGGAGGTCTCGTATAGTCTCACTCTGTCTCAATGTTTCAGTTTGGAGACAGGAGACAGTGGCTTTCAACTCAACTTCTTGAGTGGAGAGTGTCTCAACTTTCTGGTTGGAGTGGAGAAGTTTGTGGCCGGTCTCTTTCAGTGTCTCTTTATATCCGTCAACCTGTGACAGGTTTAAGACAGTGAGAAGACAGTGAGAATTACGGTAAATCCGGGCGTTTGACGGTTTTATTTAGCAAAGGCTGCAAAAACAACGTTTCATGACGTCGATATATTTGAATAAGTCATAAATTTGACAATAATTTGTCATCAATTTGCCATTGATTTGTCATGATCTTAGTTTTAACATCCTCAGATGATTTCTCTAAGTAAAAAGTTTGGTATTTATTGAATAATGCAATAATTTCTGTCCCTTTGAAGTATAATCTGTAGAATCTACGTCAAATGATGAGAAATAACTTATTTAACAAAGCGGTATTATGTGATCTCTTCTAAAGTACCAGATCAGAAAGTTCGAGAACCATCATTAAATCCACTTCCAAGCTGGAATAGAATTATATATAAACTAAAACATCATTGTAAATGTTTGTACCTGCATTTTGAGGGAATCGACGAGTCCCCTCAGTTCTTGGAAATCTTCACTTTGAACAGTGTTAAGTGCCATTCGCAGTTGGTGAATCTGAATGCAAATTGATGTCACATACTTGTATTTCCAAACTTACTGAATCAAATGTGATAGACATGGCACGTGATATTCTGTTCTCAAAATAACTTCCATTAGCACCTTGAACCCTGTGTGGACGAAATTTAAATCTGTTCTCACCTCTTTGTCCCTGTTAGATAATAAGGATTCAGTTTGCGATAATTTAGATCTTATGCTGGTCAGTTCAACTGTTTTCTCGCCCATCTGAGAGTTCAAGTTGTCTATCACAGCTTCGTATTGAGTAATCCTGAAATTTCAAGCAGAAGGGTTTAAAAATAAATATTCATACATAACAATGAAATAGATATCAATATATGAATATTATGTTTAAACGATGAATCCCTAGTCAAACAATAAACATATAACACTTATTCAAGTTCACACTCAACGCTGACATATAATATCATACTCGTTCCAAATAGAAAATATTTACCCGGCATGAGATTCATTCTTTTTGGCGGCATCTTGCTCCAAACAAACAATCTTCTCCTCTAATGAAACAACATGCTTTTTGCACTCGTCTAACTCTGTCACACGATCGTTCAAGACTGAGTTCTCAGATTTTAGTTTTGAGAAAGAGTCTTTGAATTCCTGGAGCTTAGTTTCTAGCTCAAGCTTTTCCTGTTCCAGCTGATAAGATTGACATACAACTTGGAGAATGTGTTCATGATTGATTAAAGTGTACTTTTGAAAAGGCTAGCTTATGTTTTGATAGGAATAATAAAAAATAAAGTTTAAAAGACTGTGAATTTGGAACATATGTTTATTTCGGTGAACCTGTTTGAAATAGCCTTGTTCTCGTTTGAACTGGAACTGTAGCTCAGAATATTTCCTGTGCAGTTCCGCGTCGGTTTCAGATTCAGAATGCGATGAGCGTCCTGAAAGGAAATATATCAATCCAAGATAAACTAAGATTACTAAAAATCTGTTAAATAAGTGAGGTTATGATGATGAAAATAGGCAGTAAATATTTGATGAAACCAACTAGTAACGAGGATTACTTGAGTAAGGGTCTACATCATTGCTCCTCTGAAATTCCTCCCTTAAATTGTGAATAGCACGTTCAGTTTCCTGGTCTTTTAGCGCTAACTCGTTCTGGTGCTCCATGTAGACGGACCTCAACTGTGCTTGCAATTCCTGGTGTGTAACACTAGGTCATTAGTTTTAAACTAAATTCTTTAGATATTACGTGTTCTTGGGTACATTCTTTGGCAATTATTTCAGGAAATTAATCTCATGATAGGTAGACTTCATAGCTTTGGATCGGAATTCTTGTAAAACCTGTAGATGTTTCGAACGAAACAGAGAACGCATTATCAGATTAATATGACAAATCAAAATCAGGACTAACCATTATCTTAGATTCGTTTTCTCCATTTTCCTCGGTCCTTGATGTTTGCGAATTGGACTGAAAATGCATAAAATCACAAGTGCGATGATAATTTTTGCCCCGCCCGCTCTATAGCTTAAAAATTTAGAATAAGCAACTGCCGAATCACCAAGATAAAATAGTCATCATCACGCGATTTCTTAATTTTGAGAATTTCTCATGGCAGAACAAACAAAGAATTTTTGGTGAATGTTTGGACGCTTCTGTTCAACTTTCAAGTTAAAGACTCATACCAAATAAACATGCATTCAGGTTGGCCAGTCATAACAAACTAAGTTACGATAGTGAACGAAATTTGTTTGTATTTACGCTCGCGCGCGCGCGTAACGTGTTTTGTATCTAGTTGACATTCAACTATTTGCAAGTTTCAATGTCTTCGCGTCGGACGCTAAGTCGGACTTTAAATTTTTTTTCCCCATATATCATGGAAATAAGGAAATTGTATTGTGCTTTAGTACAGAGAAAGAGGTGTGGTTTGAACAATAGTCAATAACTACAGAGAAAAAGATAATCAAGCCTCGAATGTCTACTCATTTGAAAGTTTACAGAAATGGAACCCAGCTACGAGACTTGATTTACAAACTAAACTGTTTTTATACCGGAAAAGTTATCGAAACAATGTCGCTGGGGGAACTGGTTTACATTCCGAATTTGGTTTAAGGTTCAACGAAATGTGATTAAGATGATACGTTTCCCAACATCCCAAGTTTTACCATAGAACGAAAACGTTTCGTTATCTTTCAGCGCCAAAATAAAAACTTCGCGAAAACCACTTGGGAAGGTTGAACCGAGTGCGAATCGAACTAGAAAGAATTACCTTGGAAGATAGTTTTTCTGCCTGAGCAACTAGCATCTGATTTTCATCGATAAGTCTGCCTATTTCCATTTCACACATGAAGGGATCACTGAAGTCAATATCACCAGACACATTTCGTAAACGTGTAGCTTTTTTCACTGATTTTTCATTTTCCAGCTCAGAGAATCGGTCCTTCAGTGCTTTAAATTCCTCCTGAATTTATTTCTTAGTTTAAAGATGAAAGTTAATCAATTTGTTTCCACCCTTATCGACCAATTATAATATCAGAAAATGTGTGCCCAAGCAAATACAGCTTATAAACGCCCAAAAACACGGCAATAAACAAATTTCTGAAAATAAACTGGACAACGGAAATATTGTTAAAAAGAAACATCTTACCTCCTTCTCGTTCAATATAGATCTCCATCTATCACCAACTTCTTGCAGCTGTAACTCAGTAACCTCTCTGTCTTCATTCACTTCAGCTAGATCCCTTTTCAATTTACTTATCTGAAATTTGTTAAGTCTACAATAACGATTACTTTAGAAACTACTGACTTTTGAAGTGTTACAACTGAAACAACCGTTGATGTAGCGAAATATAATGGTTATAATTTGTGAAACATATTATAAACATTACCTCTGATAAACATATAAATTAAGTTAAATTTAAACATATAGATTTAAATTTAACTTAAATCAGCAGAAGCAGGGAGACACAGATTACCCCTGCTGCAGCATCTAACCCTCTACTCATCGTCCCTAAGTTGATCCCTCTCTCACTCATTCTAGCCCTTGCAACATTCAATGTTCGTGGGCTGAGCAAAGAAGTAGACCAACATATATTAGGACGTGACTGTACTCAATATAAATTAGACGTTATAGCCCTTCAAGAAACTAAGATCACTCAGCCATCTGAAGCAATGTTACCCTGTGGCAATAAGTTGATTATCATTGAACAAAAGGATGCCTGTTATGCAGGACTGGGGTTTGTGGTATCAAAGCGGCTAGTACCGTACATTGTTCAATATCATCGTGTTAGTGACCGTGTTGCGTGGATAGATTTCAGATTGCCTGTAAAGCACGGTGAACCCGTCATGTTTAGAGCCGTCAATGTGTACTGCCCAACCAACACCAAATCAGAACTCAGACCAGAAATTGTCAGGAAATTGTACAAGCAAGTCAGTTCAGCTATTGTCGTTCCTTCAAGACACGAGTTGTTTGTGATGGGAGATTTCAACGGTAGGCTGGGTAAGCTTGATGACTCAGACTATGTAAATGGTGTGTCAGATTATGTCGGCAGGCACGGTATGGGTAAAAGGAATCACAACGGTCACTACCTTCTCAACTTCATGTGTAGAAACGACTTGTTTGCTGCTAATACTGCCTTCCTTCACCGTGCGAGTCATCGGACCACTTACGAGGGTTTGGTTAATGGCAAAGGTCAGTCTGGTAAAAAGCGTAAAGTGTTTACTCAGATAGATTATATTCTTTGTAAAAGAAGAAGTAAATGTCTGCTCAGAGATGCTAGGTCGCACAACGGTATGGTGTTTAGTTCTGACCATAGGCTTGTAATATGTACGATTGAATTGTCTAAACGCCCCCTGTTCTACGCTAAAGCTCCTAAACGTCCTAAAATGTTTGACACTCGCAGGCTCACATCAGACCCCGATTGTAAACGAATGTATGAACATGACATTGCTAGTAGACTTTCTACTGTAATACCCTCAGGTGATCCCAACAAGGACTTTGCAGTAGTACTGGGTGAAGTTCATAAGTCAGCTGCTGAGACCCTAGGCTACAGGAAGGCTAAGAATAAGTGCTTCTTCTCTAATGACCCTACTGTTGTTGCCCTAGTCGCAGAACGACACGATATACGCCTCGCCCTGGCAAGCACCAACAAGCCCTGTGATAGCTCTGTACTGCGAGGACGGAGAAATAAGCTCGGTAAAGACATCAAAAAGAGACTGAAGGAGCTAGAGTGTGCTAAGGCTGACCAGTTAGCTGAAGAAATTTCATCAACTGACGACACGCGTCAAATGTTCGAAGCTGTGAGATCCTTAGCTAAGACCAAAGAGACAAAGCCTATAGTTGTCCACAATAAGGATGGGTACCCCATTGGTACAGACCTCGCTAAAGCTGAAGTACTCCGCGATTGGTATGAAGAACAGCTGACTGGAGATGAACCTGCCCTTGATCCGTTTGAAGGTCCCCCTTCTCCCCTCGACTGCCCTATCACAGAATATGAGGTAAAAACCGCTACTAAACGCCTCAAGAACGGCAAAGCCAATGGACCTGACAATACCCCCAATGAGCTCCTCAAGTATGGTGGGAGTGCGCTATGTGTCCATTACGCCAAAATCATCAACACCTGCTTTGAAGAGAACCTGTTCCTTGACGCTGTCGGAGAATGTTTCATCACCCCTCTTCAAAAGCCTGGCAAGACTCCTGGTGAACTGAAAAGCCTCAGACCCCTGACACTATGTAACTGTGCTCGTAAGCTGCTATCCCTCATTACACTCAGGAGAATTGAAGCAAAGGTAGACGCTTACACAGGTCCATGGCAAGCTGCCTACAAGCAGAAGAGAAGCTGTGGAGACCTGGTATGGTGTCACCGTATGTTGATCAGCATCGTAAAAGAAAGAGAGTGGTCTTTCCACAAGATGGGCCTAGACATGTCCAGTGCCTTCGATACTATCAGTAGGCAGACTGTGCTCAACCTCCTAGACGACGCAGGGTGCACAAGAGATGAGATCAGACTAGTGAGATTCCTCCTGAGCAACACCAAGATCAAGGTGCGAGTCAACAACGCTACCTCCCTTGAATTCATCAGCACCAATGGAGGACCCCAAGGTGATAGTGTTTCAGGCCTCTGTTTCACAATCACTCTAGCTGGTGCCTGCTACCACCTGCGTGCCGTGCCGCTGCGCCCAACCCCTCCTATTAGTCCTAGCGGCATGCCTGAAGAAGATGCCTACTCTGATGACATCGACTATCTTGGTGAAGACAAAGATGCTCTAGAAGCCCTCCTCCCTGTCGCTACTAAGGTGTTCAAAGAGTGGAATCTGAATATTAATGAATCAAAGACAGAGTTTGTACACGTCTACATAGCTGGGAAAGATGAGGTCATGGATGATGGTAAACCCCTTAGAATGCAAATGAATGAAGAATGGTGCAGTAGCAAGTTGTTGGGTTCTCTGCTAGAAAGTAGGAAAGATGTCACCAGAAGAATCATGTTAGCCAATGTAGCATTCCAGAACTTCAAGAAGGTCTGGTGCCAGAGTAAGATCCCCCTACAGAAGAAGCTGAAGGTCTATGAGGCCCAAGTAGTATCTATCCTCATGTATAACTCTAGTTGCTGGGGAATGCCTAAATCGTACTGGGACAAACTAGATGCATGTCACCGTAACCACCTCAGAAAGATCATGAATGTCAGCTGGCCACGCAGTATGATGTCCAAAGATACCCTATACAAACAGAGTAACTCTACCCCTATGTCTGAGCGTGCTGAGTTATCTAGGTGGAAGATGCTAGGACACATACTGAGGAGCGATGAAAGATCACCAGCTCAAGCTGCGCTGTGCTTTGCTGTCGAGATGTGTAGTGAAGTTGGTAGACTCGGGGCTCACAGACGTAACCTCCTACACCACCTGAAGGTTGACCTCTGGAAGCGTTTCATCTTGCTGGAGTCGTATGATGATATTCTTCATTTGAGAGAACTTGCTAGTAACCGTGGTTATTGGAGTAAATTGTTCGACTTTATACTTGAGTACAAGTCAATTTGACTTTTGGGACATATACTCTTACAAAGGATCACGTTTAGGTTCTAAATTATTTTAGGATTGTTGACATTTGTAAGATTGACATGTTTGATAATAATTGATAATAAACATATAGATTCAGTTAAATTTTTATGATTTTTTAAATTTTTATTTAAAAAACATTCTTGCACACTATTTATTTGTTTCTCTATTGATGTATAGTCAAGACGTGAGTATTAGGGCTCTCATTGACAAATTTATCTTTAATCCTGTTTATAAACATTACCTCTGATTCGAGAGATTGTATTTTACCCTCACTTTCAACTACTCTCTCATTGGATACCTTCAACAGAGAGTTGACATCTGAAATGGGGGAGTTAAGAGCTTTATCCTCAGTTCGATACCATAAAGATAATTAACCAGGGTAATTGGAACTGAGCCTGATTGGTTTAGAAATGTGACGTTGATTTGATTGACTGCTACTGGAAACTGATCGTAGGATCAATATCAAGTGCCAGAAGAAATATGGAAAGAAATATTTGTTCTTCTGAAAGTATAGTAAAGTATATAATAGTGTTTAGAATGTGATACGATAACACAGCAAACAAAGAAGCACACACGCATACCTTGAGTGTCAGCTCTTGTTTCCTCGAGTATGTCCTGAGTAAAAGCGGACACAGTCCCCGCTACACTTTTAGCATACCCCCCCAACCAGCCTGAGTAGTGCCCGGAGTTGTTGTTATTTGCCATGATACGGCAACTGGCTGCCTTGCTGCCTACATGTTACACATCATTAACATTCACCTGTGTGCGAAAGTTTAGTTTAAAAGTTTAGTTTAGTTAGTTAAATTACAGCTTAATAGGAATTATAATTGTTTGGTCATGGCTTATATAGCATTGTATTCATTTAATACACTCTTAATTTGATACACTCTTGACATATCGTTTAGTTTAGACAGCAGAGACAATAGCAAAGAAATAATAAAATTGATATAAGTTAAAGTTAACGTGTAATGTGTTAATTCAATAGATGATATTAATAAGTTAAGTTAGCATAATATATTAATGTATTAATTCATTTTGATATGTAACGAAGCAGTAAATGAACACAAGTCAAACCAGAGATCGACCGTGATCCCGGTACCGGGGCCCGGCCGTAGCCGGGATTGGACTTTTTACCAAATCCCGGTCCCGGCCAAAATACCAATTTTACCGGGATTTTTAAGAGAAATCTCAGTCTTAACCTCCTCTTCCTTAAATCAGACTGAGATTCAGGAAATTCATTGTCCTTGCGTTCCCCATTTTGCTAAGTTCAGCTTTTTTAGACTCACGAAGTCACTAAAATTTGCTTTGAGGTAAAGTTCACATCATTATTATTTAATCTATAGTAGCTAATGATTTAATTTACAAGTTTATTAATTGATCAATGATCATATTATAGTTATAAGGAAGATTGTGGATGAAGACTTTATTGGGTAAGTTTTAAAACGCTTTCATATGTAAAACAATACAGCACACAGACTATTATAGGTGAGATGTGCAGGTTGTGTTGCTGTGGGATGTGCAGGTTGGCCACTGCTTCAGCTAACGCTACAAATGCCACACCTGGCCCTAATCCAAGCTCAAAACTATTTATGTGAGTTAAAATTAGATATAATTTATCACCATATTCCATAATCATTTATTCGAGTTTTAGCAGAAATACACTGCATATAAAAAGTTCCCTCGAACCAGATTTGAACTGGTGACCTAAGGATTACTAGGGATGAAACCGTTACAGTCCTCCGCTCTGCCAACTGAGCTACCAAGGGGGTACATCATTTAGAATTCAAATAATTATATTCATTATTTAATATTGCTAAGAGGCAATCCAACACAGTAGAAACTTACATTTATACATATATATACTAATTTCGTGTAAATAAAATAATACAAATTTAATTGAGATTAATGTGATTCACCAAGTTTCTACTGTATTAGATTTCAATTTAAATTCATTCAAATTCTCAAACGTACATCCCCTTGGTAGCTCAGTTGGCAGAGCGGAGGACTGTAACGGCTTTATCCCTAGTAATCCTTAGGTCACCAGTTCAAATCTGGTTCGAGGGAACTTTTTTCATGCGGTGTATTTTTGCTAATTTTTAAATAAGAATTCAAATACCTATATTTTTAAATTTTGCGAAGAATAAAGTAAGAATACAGTAGAATCTTGGTAAATCATTATAATCTAATTAAATTTCATTTTTAATTTGTATAGTTTATCAATAGACTAATTAGTAGCTTAAAAGCCACTGTCATGATGATACTGAAATAAGTCAACATTTATAGAATTCGATTAATTTCATAATCAGTTATGGTGTTGGTGCTTCGCTCCGAGATGATTGGCTTGCACTAATTAGTACAGTATAGTGGCACTCAAGTGACTTTTGTTAAGAACTCAACTTAGCTTTAACGTCACGACTTGCAATTTGCAAGCCATGTGCTATGATGCTTCAGAATTTGAGTTTAACATTGCAAGGCAAAACTCCGTATGGAATCTGTTCATTTGGTGCATTCATTTTTCTTTAAGAATGAAGACTGATTGGATTTCTTAAACATTGAGACTGTGATTTACCAAATTTCTACTGTGATGTCTTCTCATATTTCAAAATATAAATATTTGAATTCAAAATGTGGTATACCCTTGGTAGCTCAGTTGGCAGAGCGGAGGACTGTAACGGTTTAATCCCTAGTTATCCTTAGGTCACCAGTTCAAATCTGGTTCGAGGGAACTTTTTATGTGCAGTGTATTTCTGCTAAAACTCGAATAATTGATTATGGTGATAAATTGTATCTATTTTTAACTCACATAAATATTTTTGAGCTTGGATCAGGGCCAGGTGTGGCATTTGTAGCGATAGCTGAAGCAGTGGCCAACCTGCACATCCCACAGCTACAGACTAGAGGTGAGATTATTTGTATTGGTTTGAAAGCGCTCATAACTCACTCTAAAGAGATTTTATCCACAATGAACTATATGTGTATATGATGTATCTAGGAGCAAATGAAGTTGAAATTTTGGACAAAGTTGAAATATTGGCTCTTTACTTAACTTTGCCGCAGGAAAATTTTTTTTGGGAAGTTTGCTAAATCGAAAGGCCTTAAAACAATTTAACAAATGAAGTTGAAATTTTGGACAAAGTTAAAATATTGGCTCTTAACTTTGCCGCAGGAAAATTTTGTTGGGAAGTTTGCTCGATCGAAAGGCCTAAAAACAATTTAACAATAGAGATTATATTATGTTATAGAATAGAACGATTCAATAAGGCAGCTTTTTTTCGAAATAAGTGTGGTTCGAGAGAGGGGTTGTAGATTGTAGGCGTTCTGGAATATTTCGGGAAATTTCCTTTCAGGATTAAAATTTAGCAATGTGAAATGAAAAATAACAATTTATTGTATTGATTTAAGGATCCGGTGGATAAGACCGGACATTTTGAAGTAGTGCTCACACTTAACAGTTATAGAACTCCAAGTGGGTACAAGGGGGAGAACTTGGAAAATTTCTGAGAAATTAATATCGAGCAATATTGACAATATGACTGAATGGAGTTGGGTTAGAAACATATAAGTGATACGATAGTTTAACTTGTAGAAGCTTTCAATAAACATTTGTTAATCGTCGTCAGCTGACAATATGGAATCCCCACAAAACATTATAAATCCCAACGTTTTTGCAAGTACATAGTTTTTTTTTTGGTTATCAAACTTCGTGACTTTAACGGAGTTCAAGAATTCGTAAACATTTGATCATTAATCGTTTTAAGCATCGTAACAGAGCTTTTATTTCCCATAAACTAACTCTCATCATCCTAGAACAACTGTGTGTCGCATAGTACAGCAAGAGTAGTCGCCAGTACACCAGAATGACGTGAACGTCTCGCTTACCTGTGGAAAAAGGAAATACCAGACATCTGAGATGTAACCGACCCGTAACATTCTTTCAGGTTAAAGTGCTAATCAAGATCTCATCTCGTTTTAGCTAAAGATGGCTTTACAGACTTCAAAAAACTTTCCATAAGTAAATTTCTTGGCGACTACGTTATTGCAACAATAAACATGCCCTCAATATTTGTGGGGACAAGTTTATGAGTGCGCATGTTTTTTGTGACTAAAAAACTGTTCATAACACATAACAAGGAGATTGTAGAACACAAATAAATGAATGTTAGTTAATAAGGACGTCTCATTAAGGTGTTATAATACGTAGTCACTACAGATTACAGAGTGGACATTTTTACATGAATATAGCGAATACAAGGAGAACAGTGCAGTGTATTGATATCCTTGAAGTTGAAAGGAATATAATGACAATGTATCAGTGTATGTGTGTGCTTAATAAATTTTTCATACAATAGCTAACTGATGAACTACATAAACCCGGCGTGAGTGTATGTTATAAATGGAGCGCTGTCATAGGTCGACACTCGACAGCAACCAATCAGGATCCAGAATGCTATCTACTAGGATTATGTCTGCACTCAGTGAATTGCTGCTCTGGTAACAGGTGACCGATCGGTGAGGTCAGTGTGAGTGACACAAGTAACCATCGAGGTACTAGAAGAGAAAACTTTGATGGAAGGTAAATTATGAACATTTTCAGATTTCAGCCATCCACGACCCAAATTTCATTGTTTTGACGGAATTTTCCTTGAATGACCATCTAGCAAGGTCACTGAAGATGGCACAAGACACGATTCTAGTATTCAAAATTCTATTCCCAAATAAAGCTTTGATAAACGGAAAATCATCAAATTATTAAATGAGATTTTGGAAGATTTTTGACAAGAAGCTTTTCTGCCGTCTCATTGACCGAAATTTCGAGGTTTTGATTGAATTGTTGACCAGTGACCAATCAGTGAGGTCGGTGAGGGTGAAACAAGTCGCCATCAAGGTACTATAACCAGTATATCCGGAGGAAACTTTGATGCAATGAAAATTTTGAATATGTCCTACCAGTAGGACATTTTCAAATTTCGGTTTTCCGCAACCCAAATTTCCTTGCTTTGACTGAATTTTTCTTCAATGATCATCTAGCAAGGTTACTGACGATGGCGAAAGACACGATTGTAGTATTCAAAGTTCTATTCCCAAACAAAGCTTTGATAAACGGAAAATCATCAAGAATATATAAAATGAGATTTTGGAAGATTTTTGACAAGAAGCTTTTCTGCTGTCTCCTTGACCGAAATTTCGAGGTTTTGACTGAATTTTTGTCGGTGAGAGTGACACAAGTCGCCATCAAAGTACTAGAGCCAGTATGGACATTTTCAAATTTCAGCTTTCCACGATCCAGATATCACTGTTTTGACTTAAAATATGGAGGACATATTTATTGTTGCAATCACGACATAGTTGCGAAGAAAATTTATTTTTTAAAGATTTATTTGAGATTTGTAAAGCCATTATTATCTTAAACGGACTAGGACTTACCTGAAAGGATTTTATAGACTGGCTACATCTCAGATTTTTGATATCTAACTTTCTTTTTCCACAGCGAAACATATACGTCATTCTGGCGTACTTGTGAATACTCCTGATACTGAAACAAGTACTGTGCAACACACGATTAGTTTCTGGGAAAGCCATAATGATGCTTAAAACAATAAGTGTTTCTATGACTGTAAAATAAGCACTACTTGGGTTAATAAGCACTATTTGGGTTACCTCATACTTCAAGAACAAATATCAAAACACCAGAGCCACGTCTTAGATCCTGGGTGTTGCCAGTCTTTTCCAAAAGTTAGGATTTACCTTTTTTAAGTTTAAGTTCAAGTCTTACATGTAATTACAGGTTAACCTCAAAATTTCGACTTCATTTGCACCTATAGATCATATAATTCATTGTGGATGAAATCTCTCTTGAGTAAGTTTTAAAACGCTATCACATGTAAAACAATACAGCCCACAGACTAGAGCGAGGTGACACTGCATATAAAAAATTTGAAATTGTGCGGAAGAAATTCGATACAGTAGAAACATGTATATTACATACAGTAGGAATTCTAAAGTATTGAATTTTTTCTGCACAGTTTCAAAACCTGGTCATTTGAATTCAGAATGAGATACACCCTTGGTAGCTCAGTTGGCAGAGCGGAGGACTGTAACGGTTTCACCCCTAGTAATCCTTAGGTCACCAGTTCAAATCTGGTTCGAGGGAACTTTTTATATGCAGTGTATTTTGGCTAAAACTTGAATGAAAGATTACCGTGATACATTAGTCATTATATCTATTTTTGACACTCATACGTTCGGATCTTTTGAGCTTGAATCAGGGCCAGTTCTGGCATTTTAGTGATAGCTGAAGCAGTGGCCAACCTGCGGATCTCACCTCTAGTCTGTGGGCTGTATTTGGCATTGTTTTACAAGTGAAAGCGTTTTCAAACTTATTCAAGAAAGATTATCCACAATCTTCCTTGTAACTATAATATTATGATTAATTATTAAACTGGTAATTTCAATCGTTAGCAATTATAAATCAGATAACAATGACGTGAACATTCAACACATGGCATTGTCTTTACCAATTTAAATAACTGAATGAGTCTAAAAAAGCTGAACTTACCAAAATGGGAGATGCAACGTCAATGGTGTTCCTAAATGTATGTATGATATTAGAAAAGAGGTTTCAGAGGAGAAAAGGTTTGAAGGAAGAAAAGTTGTCGGCTAATAAAGCAGGCTTTTCGAGTTCCAAACGTTATGAGAGAGCATTAATTTGTGATGAAGGGGGGGGGGGGGGGGCCGGGGGGGGGTACCACTGTCCATTTTGTCCATTTTGTCTTTGTCTTTTTTTACATTTTTTTGTGAAGGACAGTGTTTTGGGGACAAAATGGACAATACTAGGGACAAAAGGGACAAAAGGGACACAAATTTTGGACAAATGAGACAAAAAATTAGACAAGCTCAAATGTAGAGAATGTATATATTCTACTCGACATCAACAATTTAGATTTTCATGTCAGTGTTTTGCTGTACTTAGAATCAACTGAAACCACTGAAGGGACTGAAATAAGCAGAATTCATCAACGGCATCACATAAATAAATGTGTACACGGTTCAGTCAATATTTCATTAATCCCATTAATCAAGTGGTGATATCAAAAAAGTCATCATCTTTTAATATCATAACGCTCATAGCGGCCAGTAGCAGATACCCAGACCCACACAATTACTTTTCCGTTAACAATATGCCGACAATATCGAGCTAATGGGTATTCGCTTTTTCCTATGAAGTAGGAGATAAAGCATGCCCGACCTCTAATCAAGATTTTCTTATTCCTCCTCTTTTTCCTGAACATTTGTCTCGTTTGTCCCTGTCCTTTTTGTCCATTTTGTCCATTTTGTCCCTGTCTTTTTTGTCCATTTTGTCCTTTTTGTCCCCGTCGAAAAGGCATTTGACAGTGTTCATCTTCCATCACTATGTGTCAAACTATCAACTCTCGGTATTCAAGGAAATATTCTTAACGTGCTGAGAAGTTTCCTGTTCAACCGGACGATATGTCTAAAAGTGAACAACTATAAAGGAGAAAAAGAAAATGTACAATATTTGGACTACCTCAGGGGGCTGTACTCTCACCTCTCCTCTTTATCCTATACATAGCAGACATGACGCACAACACCCCGGAAGAGGTAAAAAGATATCTAAGCTGCTACAAATTTGCTGATGACGGTACACTTACGATTTCCTTTGAGAACATCTCCGGATGCCATGAAAAAATGCAGATGGTATGTGACCACCTCAGCAAGTGGTGCATCAAGAACAAGCTAGTAGTGAACTGTGATACAAATAAAACAGAGGCAATAATATTGAAAACTGCAGCCTATAATGAAGAACAGAAACCTGCAGGATTATGTATTAATGGGAAAAGCATCAACTACGTTCAAAGTACGAAGGTCCTTGGGGTAATAGTAGATGAAGACCTCAATTTCAAGAAATATGCGTCTCAAAAACTTAAAGAATGCAAAAGAAAGTGGGGATTAATAACAAAATCAACTAACCGCAACTACGGTCTAAACGTTTACAGCCTCACTCTCCTCCTTAAGACAATGGTCCTCACTAAACTGTTCTACGCAGCACCTATTTGGCTTCACAAGTGTCTCAATCAATTTAAAAGCTTATGGAATAAAATAATTTTAAAAATATCTGGATCAGTCCTGAACCCACAAAGGGAATTAACCGAACTTGCTCTCCACCTCCCACCACTGGATGTGTAACTCAAAGCTCTCTCGGTTAAATTCATGTGCAAAATACTCACACAAGGTGACAATCTTTCAGCTACCCTCTACCAAGTTGATGAAAGCAGAATACCAAGCTTTCATGTCTTAACAATGTCACTGAAAAAGTACTTCCTTTGGAAAGAAAATAAGTCACACGGAACCAGAATGATAGACCTAACGCAGCAACATTTCAAGGATCTGGCCTATTACACTCAGGCAGACATAATGAGCTACAAAAATAAGATCTGGATTGACAGCATCGAAACAAATCTGCAATGCAGAACTGTCAGTAACAACAAGGAGACCAAGATACTTGGTGTGATCACAAAGATCAAAAACAGTGGGCTGCTCCTAGACAAAAACAACTTTTTATTCGGGCACAACACGAGTAAAAATCTGGACAGCCGAATAATGGACTACATTCATGGCAGCACCAATATCCAAAAGATCATGGGTGGTGGCAGTGGTGAGGCCTGTCGTTTCTGTAACAGCTTCATCGATTCTCCCGTACACCAGCTCCAATTGTGTCTGGAGGTGCAAGACACCATGCCAGTTACCTGCAACTGAAAGAAGAGCTGGGTGGGGCAGACTCACATTCCTATCTAGATGAAGTGTTAACAAAAAACAGCACACAAAAAGCATTCATTAGGAGAGTCGAATTTCTTTGGGGACAAAACGATGCTCTCCAGGATTTATCCGACTAGAAAGATCATGAAATAAAGACTCTGCAAACATCTCAGAGAAATATGACCACCATAAAGAACAAAGAGGGAGTATCCTGGACCCCGAAATCCGCCACTTTTCTGTACTTTCAGAGGTACCAATGTGGCAGGAAACCAGGGCTCATGCTGCCGCTGAGCTAAAGCAGTAGAGGGGATGGCGGCTTCTCTAGGATCTAACACGTCCTGAAGCAGACCAACAATATGTCCCAACGCACTGGTGTTGGGATGTCTGCCCCCGGTGCCTGTCCGGGTCAACAAAGCAGTCAAGCATCATGTATGTTATGTTGAGCATTCTCAACCAACAAATGTGGGAACTCCCACGAAAGACCAAAACAGATCTAAAGAGACACTTAACAACATTGGAAAAATAGACTACAATTTGTTTATATAATTTATAAAGCGTATATTATTGCCCACGTTAAGGGGCCTGTTAATAATTTATTAAATTATTAGCTATTTTAGATTTAATAATAATAATGTCCCCGTCTTTTTTGTCTTTTTTGTCTTTTTTGTCCCTATTATCTTTTTTTGTCCCTTTTGTCCCTCTTGTCCCTTTTGTCCCTTTTGTCTTTGTCTTTTTTCAGTTTTTTTTTGTGCAGGGATAAAATGGACAGTGGTACATTTGTTCATCATATCAAAATACATTATCACTACTCGATTTCTGTTTAACAAATGCAGAATATTTGAACTAAGATCTGTTGAAATAAAAGTGAATTTGCAAACAAAAGGAAATACACAACGTACCCATCCCACGCATCTAACAGTACAGTGCAGGGGAATGCCATTATCTTGAGTAAAAGGAAACAAAGAAAATAAAACAAGGGAATACAGAATAGCAGATAGGTGTCTCAACAGAGAGGATCCTGGCCAGTGGCCCCTCAATCCACCACTGTACATGTACTTTCAGAAAAATCTATGACTCATATCAAGCTACCACAGAGATATCAGTATGCGATCCAGAACTGTTTTTCCTTTAAGACAATAAAAAGCACTGATAACGATATCACGTTGTACGTGTAATGTAAATATAGTGTGGATAAATGCGAATATATATTCTAAATAACTAATAAATAGCTTATTGTACAGCTCACACAATATAGTAGAGGCTCTTACGGGCATTGTCTGCTCCATACGCTAGGGACCCCAGATACACCTTACTAGACGTATTTTTGACCGTAGAATCGATTAAAAGTGGTTTTAAGATGATAGGACTGACTTTTTGGGGGGTAAAATCGCAAAAAAAAACGATTTTTGGGCCAAAAATAGGCCAAAAAACCATGTTTTTTGATATTTTGAACAAGTTAATTTTGTTGGCATGTCGGCAAAACTTGCATGGAGATAGCTAAAACACAGCCGCACAAGTTGGTTTAAAAATTTAAAAAATCCCTCTATTTTTTTGGGGGTAAAAATCCAAAAAAGTGGTAAAAATTTTGACTTTTTTGCTTGAAGTTTGAATAATTTTTTGCAGTTGTATTAAATTAACCCAAAAATAGTCACATTGTGTTTGCCTAAATTTTTCCTTTCCAAGAGGTACCCAGTTCATATACTTTATCGAAGTTTGAATATTGTCACTCCGCAAGCGTTTTTGCCAAATTTTCGACGCGCACTACGCGCAAAAGCATTTAGTTGTTATCAATTGGCATCCGCGCGTTCATCATAAATTTCAAACAGCTATAACTCAGCGAGATTATGTCCGTTCTAGCTCATATTTTCACACCAAATAAAAAACAATGTGATCTTATTGCTGACAAAATATGAATATAATTACTTTATTTGCCTTAGAGTAATAGACTGTCAAAGTTTAAAACGCGCATTGATATAGCACGTGACTAATAAGGCCAAATTTATAATTCTTAACATATTATCGATCCTTAGACATCATACTATTGTGTCCAATTAGCGGTTAGGTCTCTAAACTCGTAGCAGAAAACACGTCTTTTTGCCCGTAAGAGCCTCTACTAATATGGACTCGCTGCTGAAAACACGATTATATTTAGATTTAGGGCATGAAACGGAAATTGACAAAAATTCGAAGCCCATCGTTTAGAAGCTAAATGATGATGTTATCCAAACGTTCGATAACTGCTGGAGAGTGGAGCAAGCCCCTGATCTGGGTGCAGCGAATTTTAAAATCAAGTCAGTACCTGCAATCATATTTTCAGCTTCATCCCCTCCTCATCCCCATAATACATAATTCTGTATCCTTTTACTGTTTATATTGTGTCGTAAAATAATTCAATAAAGCAAAAGCCCTATATACAATATAATATTAAATCAAAGGCGCGATTATATTTCGACCGCTCTGTGTACATGCTTCATGCTTATACGTTCCTGTTTTATGAGTGAGCTGTGGGATAGTAAAAGTAAGCTAAACCAAAGTATTTTTACGCTGATTTCGAATAAGACTTATTACATCGCATTAAAACAATTTCGAGTGCACTAGACACAAGACAGTGAGGTGATTTAGCACGCTCGCAATATTACTGAGTACAGTGCGCGCCGCGCCATAAGGGTTGTAGGTTTACAACCTAACAGGACGCGCGCCGAGTTGGACTCGTCGACGGTCCTGTATATGGAACAAATATTTTGCAAGTATCACTCGTTAACATAAGGGCATCTACTTAGGACGTCTATTTTACTTGTGAAACAAGCGCGTCACGCAGTACGCGTAGACTCATAGCTATACTATATGTGAAGACGTCCGCCAAAATCGCAGATTTTCTTAATTGACGATGTCAATTCATCTCAGCTCGGCACAGTAACGCATCGCGCTACAAAGATTTTCATATCACCCCCTCCCCCTTTCTGTTTCCGGGTGTGTCCTTATTTTCAAAACCACACCCTCCCTGTTTGCCTGACGTCCTAAGTAGATGGCCCCACATAATAATACCTTGTATAGCGCGATGCGTTACTGGGCCGCGCACTCAATTATGTAATCGGTGAGCTGCGATGAATTGGCATCGTCAATTAAGGAATAACTGTCACCAAGATGTAAATCAGATCGGACGAGAAATTAGCTGATCGAACGAGAAATTAGATCGAACGAGAAATTAGTAAATTTCTCGTTCGATCTGATTTACATCTTGGTGACAGTTAGGCGTGCGCTACTTCGAAGATATTTAGACGCGATTATTATTAAACTGTTCATAATTAACGTCTACTTCAATTTTATTGTCATAGTACGTTGTATGACCCGCCGCGCACGAGTGCGCGGCTCCCCCTATATCATAATAACAATAACCATGTGGAACGGCCGTGGGGGTCACGACGCGATACAATGTCAATAATACATGTCCTCATTGTCCTGATGTCCATTGCACTAGATCAAGATGTTTGCCCGCACATTTTTCGAATAATTTTAAGAGAACAAAACTTGAAACTGATTTGTTAAAAATCTGTACAAATCCTGTAATGAAGTTGAAGGCACATAAAAGCTGGTGCAAATTACGAGTACTAGAAATCAATAAAAGACTTTGGACTGACCGAATTTATTTCCACCTATATGTTTTGCTACACGTTGTAAATGTATACCTCGTATCGCAGTCGCGATAAGAGGTGTTGTATGACTATGAGCACACATAACCGTTATTTTGAGTAAAGTTTATTTTAAAATGAAGCAAGAATGTTAATATGTAATAAGCAATGGATTAAACTAATAACATAATGACAAATTTAATTTACAAAACAATTAAATAAAATTCGGGCTATCATAATACAAATATGACCCTCAGCCTCATCGTATCAGTACTATTGCTTAGATACGATAACCACCGAAGAGGGACATAAACCAAGAGATTTCAGACTGAACCCGTAGTCTGATGGTTGAAACTGTTTTCTGGGAAATGACGTCATAAGACCAAAAGTGTCGAGTTTTGCTGTGTCACGTACAAAGGCCACTACGTCACCGAGTGTGTCTTCTGCTTTGAAGGAGTTTACTAGTGCTTGGCCTGCGGAAGTTAATGTTCAATACCCTTTGTATCTGTAATATTTTGGCACTTAAACGGTTAAGGTAAAACTTAATTCAATTCTTTAAATGTGGCTTGATAGTTCTGTGTTTGGTTAACTAAATCTACGTACCGGTGGGAAGGCGTAGTTGCAATCTGCACTCATCATACTCTTTAGCGGGTTGTGGGGCGGCGGCTTGGGGAGCTGGTTGTGGGGCTACTTCTTCTTTATTCGCAGTTTCCTTCGCCTTCATTTTGTTCATTCTGTGGCGAATAGGGATTCAACCACTGATCAACTCATATGTTTATTTTCAGTAAGACGGATGAAATTATTTATTGTCTGTTAAAGGCATGATTGAAGCTTCAGAATTTCTTATCACAAATTTTAAAAGTTTGAGGTTATTGTGGTTGTAGCTGTAATGATTCCACTGAACCTGTCTTGTTTGATCTTGTCCAGCACTGCCTTCCTTGCTTTCTCATCTTCTATTTTCTGGCGTCTCCTGTCCTCCGCAAGAGCTTTAGCATCATCTCTGTCTCGCTTCTCTCTCATCTCCCCCAGGGACTGCCCTTCCTTCCGTCTAGACGAGAACAGAAATTGTGAGTTGAACATTCAGATATCATTGTCATTTAGAGATAAAACATTTCGAGAGTAACACGAATATTTGAAAATACTGAATCATATGTACCCTATTCAAATTGAAAGCGAAATTTAGTAGTTCTGAAAGTAGGCAAATAGGCCTACCTGATCTTTTCCCTCATAATGGCATCTTGCTTGTCCTTCTCCTCTACAATTCTCCTCCTCTCAGCTATTTTACGCTGGACCTCAGCAGCTTTAGCAGCCCTTTCTTCTGGTGTTATTTCGGAAGTGGCTTCTTCCTGTACGCTGAGAAAAATAAATAAGGCTGTAATCGTCAACCTTTTTTTACAAGATATTATTTCTTCAAAAACGATATTCGAAGGCATCTGTCTCAGATCGAGCATGCAGCAAATTTGGAAATTACAAATTAAACTATTCCATCATGACAAATTTCACATTTAAACTAAGGATAAAATAAAGTTGTTAACAACTTACCTACCTTTGAGTCTGTCCGGGCTCGCTGGCACTGCCTAAAACGTTCCCTCCTGACTCCTCTATGGGATCGTCTATGTCTGCGTCATTCTCGTGATTTTCTAACCAAGCTATCGCTCGTTCCATTGAGTTGTACTGAGATATTGAGTATCATTTACTGAAGTGTAATTTTCAGCAAGTTACATGAAAGAATTTTCGGAAAATGTATCTATATTTTTAGCTGTAAAATAAAAGACAAGAACAATGGGCAATTTGGTAATCTAGCTAGGCACACTTGGGGCACAAAATTGAATTTCCTAGGGCACAGTTGGGGCAAAAAGTTACTTGGGGCACACTTGTAATTAAAATTACCTGAACTGCTCTGAGGGCTCTTACTGTTCTGTTCTCCCCAAACCCCATCGCTAGCATGTCTTCTTTGAGACCCATCCTAATGTGGAGGTGTATTATTGTATGTGTCAACGTGGGACGAGGGGGACTTGCCTCTTCGGGGAAAGTTGTTGATTTGCCCAGTTTGCAAATAGTAAAAAACAGTTCAGTTCTACGTGAGTTGGTGATACAAGACAAGTTAGCAAATACACATTTAAATATGACGTGCAAGCAAAGCGCTTGTAGATCAAGAAAGTATTACATTAGTTTGTAAGATCAACAAATAATATGTTAGAAAATGCTAAATTTCGCGACTGAAAAATCGAAAGAGCCGTGAAAATAAAATAACCCCTTCTACTAAACAATATTAATGAACCGTAACTCAAATGATCAGCTAAGAAGAATTCTTTCGATTAATAATTTAACTACAGTAACATTCAGACCGTTTCCCAACAGTTTGTACAACTGTTTCTCAGACAAAGATTCGGGGAACGAATACCACTCAGGAATTCCATGAATTCGTGCAATCTCACGGGGGGCGAACAACCTTAGATTTAGCGACCTCATGTGTTGCAGAAACTCTCCGTCACTCAACTTAGAATTACACATACTTCTCCCATTATCTGTCTTATCACGTGACAAATCTGAAGGAGGATTACTTCGCTCCTGTGGTGTCTCATTTCGCTCCTGTCGTGTCAGATCACCAGGTGAGGGGTCAGGAGTCTGCTGGATAACAGACCCAGATCCCTCCGCTTTAACACTGTATCCTTTAGTAAAACAACAAGATCTTGTGGAGCTAGGAGTCACTATGTCCAGTACCCAGCCCCATTTTGATAGGAATTTGTCTGATAACTGACAACTGGCGGGATCCTCCTGGAGAAACTCTAACAGGGGAGGAGTGGTGGCGAAGTCTTCACAGCCAGGAATGAAGGATAATAAACTGTTTTTATTGTCTGCAAATGATTGTATGTTTTCCGGAAAAGGTTGTTTTCTAGCTAACAGATAGTATCTTAATCTCGAATTGGGAATTCCAAATTGGTTTGAGTTGATCAGAAATTCGACAACATGATATTGATGTTGGGTAAAGAATTGCATAATATTATTTCGGGTATTCGATGTTTCAAACCCTTTTACGTTCTCCAATAAAAAATAATCCGGTAATGAAGATAAATCCGAGAACATATCAAAAAGATGAATCACACTCTCTGACCGTGGATCTAGTTCATCCTTCATAACTCCTTGCCGGGTGAAAGGCTGACATGGTGGCGACATGACAAACATCACTTTATCACGTGATGTATCATTCTCGTCACGTGATTTAAAATCCTGATCATGATTCGCACTTGCTTTCTTAATTATAGATTCAAGCCGAGCCGCAGTCAGACCACACAAATTGGTCTCAAAAACACTGGTTGCCGGAAAATTCGCTCTGTAGATACAATTAGCGTTAGAAGAAATCTCAAAAGCAGCGACAACTTTGTAGGATAGTTCTGGAATCTGTGATAGCGCTAAATGGTAACCTCCAATGCCCGAGTAGAATTCGCATACTTTTAAGACTGGCGCTGCTGGATTTAGCATCAGTTCTGGAGTAGCGTGATGTTCTGGGTTGCTGTAATGGCTTGGCTGAGTAAGATGTCGGAAACAGGAGAGTTGATTGGGTGTGAGTTAGTACCTTGATTATGTGGTGAGATTAGGATATAGGATTTTAAAACGTGGTTATATAAACTCAATTCAATTTACTCAGGGTACATTGGATAGTCAGTGAAATCGTGAATCAGAACGACATGTGTCAAATTTACAGTACAGTAAAACTTTGTTTAAAATTCTGGAGAATTCATTACTGAGGAACTATCAATAACAGCATAAATTCATGTAAACATTACAACTAATCCTGCGAAATTTCAATAAAAACTAAAAATATTTTATCTCTCAAACTTTCAGTATTCAATTTAAACGTACAACAGAGTTCATGCGAAATCAATAATTGTCAGGGTCATCAGAATCATAAGCAAAGCACATTGAAACTGGTTGCTTGTGAGACCTCCCACTGTTATGAGCACTGCTACAACTGTTAGAATAACCCCCATTCGAACTCTTCTCAATCTCGGAAGTATCAGGAATCACAGTTACACCTGGTCCGTAAAAATCACTGTGGTATATTGAGCCTGAAGCTGAGGAGGCAACTGAGGAAGCCACATTGCACTGCTCCTCCGTAAGGAAGTCATGTGATATAGCTCTATTAGCTATGGCAGCGGCCCTGCCACGTCCTTTCAGACGAGAAGGAGGAGAGGATTGCGGTTTGGAGATGGAGGATACCAGGAGAGGGGGAATTCTACCGTGCTGGGGGTTTCCCCGACCTCTGCCAGCACGAGATTTGGGTATAATGATTAGAGGCTGTCTCTGAGAGCCACTGCCGCTACAAACTGATCTTGGAGTTGAACTGTTAAGGTCGCTTAAGGTTGGTTTTTGGGATGTATTATTTTCCAATTTTTCTGAACTGTGATTATTGCGCAAACTTTTGGGCAAACTCCTGCTTTGATTGGGTGAGGATATTGTGACAGGAGACATTCCTGGATTACGAATTGTGTCTTGTGACCTGCATGTCTCAACTGGAGACATGGTGTTAGAGACACCAGGTGATTTTTTTGGAGACAATTGCACCAGCGGAGGGGGCAAAGACGTCGACACAGATGCGGGGATTGGTCGTGGAAAGAAAGGTTTTCGATGATATCAGAAGAATTGATTGCGCGTGCAGCATTCATGGGAGTCTGAAACCTTAAACTTGACATATGAAAAGGTTGTCTGGGGGAGGTCAGAAGAGCCGAGTTAAAAGGTTTCTTGATAAAACACTGTGGGATGGCATTAAAACCCTCACCCTGCTCCACTATGACGTCACTACTACTTGAACTGGAGCTCACTATCTCATAGTGAGGTTCAATAAGTTTAACTAGATTCTCAGTTTTCTCAGTTATCCTGGCTACTTCACTGCTGTTGTGAGATTCTCGGTCTGGGTCTGGCGTGTATCTGTTGGAGAATGCGCTCCTTTCTTCTTCAAGATTTCTTCTCATCTGAGGGTAAAGATAAAGCTAAGATAACATAAATTGTTCAATTTCACCAAACTCATACAAACAATAAATCACAAATCTCCAAACACTCCAACAAGAATACCTACCTCCTCAGAAGTTATAAAAGCCCTGCTCCTAGGTTCACTCTTTTGTTCAGCCCGGATCTTCTCCACCAGCTTGCTGAGCTTGGGTGACATGACAGGGGCCTTGTGAGCAGGGTCGTTATACCGTGGATCTCCCGCAAAGATTGTTCTAGATCCCAATCTAGAGGGATCCATTGTAGCAGCAACTGTCGGCGGGGGTTCACACTACGACAAGATTTTGGGTTTCAATTGAACTGTTGTGAAGATTTATATTTTAAGCTATAAAACACAAAATTTCAAATTTGGAACAATTCTTCATTAGATACGAAGCATGAGTAAATACTCGAAGAAAAAAAACACACACAAAACTTACAATTACCTCTGGTATGATAAAATTAACGTTATCGTCTGAAGAGCTGTTAGAACTCCAGATCTGGTCATCATCTGTCACGTGTTCAATATTGCGTGACGTCACGAAATCACGTGACGTCACAACGGCATCACCCTCACAACCTGCAGAACTACTGGTCACATCACTAAAGATATCCGGAACCTTAAACATGTCTCCGATAGAACCCTCCTTGCTCTCTGTTGTTCTCTCTAGCTCCTCCTCCTCTTCCGCAGGACCATAATTTGGTGCTCCGTGCACATACTTCTCCCAGTCGTTGTCATCCTCTATTACTGGTCTGTTGGGATTCACGCTGAAGATCCTCAAGGAGCCAGGAGTCGCTTTCTTCGGGTCGAATTTGAACGGTTCTGAAATAGAATTTTAAATATTTTGGTGCCGGCTTAGTTCGAATACTACGGCTATTAACTTGTGCAAAAACCCACTACCAGTTTAAAAGTAAAACATATTACCGTTATATAAAATAAGGGTTCTTTTTTGCACCGAGACTGCAAAATATTAACTCACTAGAGTAGAAATGTTCGTCCCCAGGCTGGCTCTCGTAGGCCGGGTTCAGAATGGACTCCGGAATGTTCCACTCAGTTTTCAATATCGGAATTTGTTTAGATCCTATCAGCATTGACTCTACGCCAGGCGGTATTTGTCTTATTCTCTGAAATTAAAATGAGGATGTTATCAAATTTATGCGATCAGGTTCTGTACATATACTTGTTTTATAGAGTCCCTAATAACACTAAGAAAAGTCTCCAACCAAATTCTATTGGGAATAGGAACCGACCGGATATCCGGCTGAATCCGGTACCTGCCGGATATCCAGTTCCGGTCAGGTTTAAAAGGTGCTTGGCGGTAAAATTCCAAGTCATCACAGGCTGATCTCGATACCTGAAAGCATGCCTCGAGATCTGATTCCGGTTAAAAAGGCTATATACTGCCTGGATCCTTAGCATGGGTGCACAGGGTTCAATGACATGAGTTGCACGAAATCAGAAATTTCGAACGTTTTCGGATACATTTTTACATTTTCTGACATCTAGCAACAAGTGCAGTGGTCGGAAATTTATTCTCCTGTTTGCCACTCGGTTCCGGTCTGGCAAACAGGAAAATAAGTTGATATCTGACCGTTCCTAGTCGTTTGTGATTATATCAAAATATGTGTTATTTGGTTAATGTAGTGTACTCTACAATCTAGATCTATAAAACGGAGTACGAGTTACCGAACACCGGGGCGCCATGATAGCCTCTTGTGTCTCCGCATAGCCTTTAATTGTGCTTACTAATACAATAGAGTACGAGGGCAGCTAAACACCAATTTGCAGTGATCGATTGTCTCAATCAGCTCCCATTAAGATTACATTCACACATAGTTGAACAACATGAGATAAGTGGAAAACAATTTTGTTTTAAACAAACGAACAAATTGACTTTCGGAAAGGATCGTCGCTTGAGATCGGAGATTTCAGAATTTTTAGGAAAAAAGTTAAATTCTGTGACATTTAATCAATGTGAGAAATTTCAAAACTTCTCAGATAAATTTTATAACTATTGAATATCATATCTCGGGTAATCCTTAGGAAACGTCTGTAGCATGATTTAAATCCTGTTAACTTTAATTAACAATTATTAATAATTTTAACCAATAACTTCAATAGTTCAGCAGTAAGTGCCAAAAAAGAACTAACCGTTTTAGGATCAGGCGAGTTCTCTTGAATCCGACAGTTAAGGTATATTTCAGTAATTTGGGGTAACGGCTTTGAGAGCTCCCTTAGCATGATGCCATGAAGCAGTACAGCGTAACGGGCTATCTGAAATGCATTTATTTAATTTAAACGATGTCCAACAAATGATAATAAGTGAATATAATTCGCAAGTTAAAACGACATTTCTCGATAAAATGCTGAACGAAAATACCAGAAAAATCAACAATACGGCTGCCGCCACAAAAAATCTGAAAGACTGACCCTAGCTGTGACGAGAAGAAGTTCAGGAGGAATGTTCTCCCACACCCAAATACTGGGGTCTCTTCTCAGGATGCTTTCTCTCTGGCGGTAAACACTGACTGGAATGTCTTGATACTCTATCAAGCACTCTGTCAAGGTCTTAGCTGTCCTGAGTGGTGGAGGGTGAAATGTTTGCTTAGTTTTAGCCATCAGTTGAGCAGTTGCGTGCGAAACTGTAAGAGAACACACTGTGCAAAAACCTGATATCGTCTAAGAAATTGTTCAAAACATTTTCGTTAGAAAAAACAAGATCCATATAATAACGTACAGCTCCTGTGATGTCTTGCTCTGGATTAGAAGATCTGCAGCGTGCGTATCAAAAATACTCCCTGCTCTAAGCTCTACATCATACTGGTTAAACAGTATATCCGCCAGACAGCTACAATCGTGGATAACCTGTTCAGGTATTTCTGTCAATATGATTTACAAGAATGGGCTAAGGTGGAAACACCCAGGCAAGGTGCGTTGCCAGAGGTTCCACAATCAACAAATATCAACAAATCACCTATTTGGACGTGTGTAATTTGGGGGGGGGGGGGGGGGGGGGGGGCCAACCATATTAAAGTATATTGAAATGTAGGATTTTTCCCGATTTTGACCCGGGGATATACTTTAATATACTTTAATATACTTTAATATACTTTAATATATTCCCATCTCCCTGGAGGCCTACATCAAAAATTATTGCCCAAAATAAGCTTGAAATGCAATTCTTAATCGATTCCAAAAAGTTCTTGAAAAAATATTGAAAACTGATGGAGTTATTTCAATTTTAATGAAGTCATTTTGGCTAGTATTCCGAACCGAGATATTATGTGCAATTTTCCCAATTTTGTTCATGGAGGTCTTTTTACTTAGTATCCACTATATTCAACAAACACTGAGTTATATCTTTCACATAGAGTTAGTCTCATTAAAAAATATTGAAATTTTATCGAATTTGGGCAAAAGCGAATTTGGGCAAAAGCGTATGCCCAAATATGGGCATATTTTTTAAAGCTCATAGCTCAGCCAATTTTTGACCAATCTGGATGGAAATTCATGTACTAGTCCTAAAACAGGCTTATCTTGCGAATCTGAGTGAAAAATATAGTTCATCATGTAAATCTTAACGAAGAATATAAATCTTCTAATTGTAGGTATATTAAAGTATATTAAAATGTAGGATTTTTTCCGATTTTGACCCGGGGATATACTTTAATATACTTTAATATGGTTGGCCCCCCCCCCCCCCCCCCCCCCCCCCTAATTTTCATTTTTTGGCATTTTGTTTAGACTTATAATTCGTCCTATTAATATTTAGAAACCGTACAATATATAAATTAGCAAGTAGTGTTACCTTAATGGGGTGACGAGCTTCAAGTAATCTTTTTAGGCCCCCTTCTGTAAATATTTTCGCTCCAAATTTGCGGATGTTAAAAAGCACCGCTGATCCTCTGAAAGTGGACAAACTATAAAAAATAATTTCAAATCACCAGGCGTGAATTCAACTGACCAATGCAATGTTGAAACCGTGTTGAAACCGTGTCACCATGCAGAAAATCTATTTAAGATTTCAAATTTCCATCCCATAGATCTGAGGTAAACGATGCACACATCATGGGCCATGGCACATAGTTGATGCAATATGATTTATTATAACAAATAAACCTGGTGATCTACTAACAGATATCCACAGACGATCCAAGTAAGAACTCCATGCCTGTTAACATCAAACCCTTCCCACAACACGGAAACACTGTGATAGTTGGCCAACTCCAGGGCAGCGTCCATCGCGTCTGGGATAGACTCAACCACTCTGTAGTGAACGTCTGAAGTTGATAGAAATTAAATTCCTCGGAACAAATATGAAATCTTCCGCAAAATATGAAATCTTCCGCAATGACCGCACGAGAAAGACTCATCCTCAAGATCCTAATAACCCTAAAAAGTTTAGGGAAAATGGAGGTGGTGTTCTTTTGGCTGTTCGGTCTGATCTCGACGCCACTACAACCCGACTACCAGTTAGCCTAGGTGCCGAAATGCTTGCCGTTAAAATTGCTTTTCCTAACAAAGAGAGTATTGTAATCTGTACTTGTTATATAGTAGGAACTCTTGGGTTACCTAATCATGATGTCATAGTTAGTTATATTCGCAAGCTAGTTTCCAAAAAGAATCCCCCTAAAATCTATGTTATTGGTGATTTTAATCTTCCCCATACAGACTGGCTATCTTCATCCAGTACCGTACCTATCGAGCAATCCTTCATAGATTCTTTCAGTGATCTTTCTCTCTCCCAGTTGATCACATCACCCACCCATAAAAGTGGTAATACATTAGACCTTCTTCTCAGTAATTATGATAACACAATCGATAACTTGAATGTCTGTGATCCTCATTCCGTGTGCAAATCTGATCATTTTCCTGTCACTTTTTTAATTAAAAGCTCCTTTTTCCGTAAGAAAACTCCTAAACGTAAAATCTATAATTTTAAGAAAGCAAACTGGGACATGATTAAGCGTGAATTATGCTCGATTAATTGGCAAGTCCTAGAATGCCTAGATCCTGATTCGTCTTGGAAGTTAGTTAAAGACTGCATTATGAATTTAGTTGATATACATATTCCTAAAGTAACTATTAAATCAGAGTTCCAACCCCCGTGGTTCGATAGTGAACTTTTTTCTTCATGCCGTAAAAAAGATAGACTCAGAGCTAAATTTAAAATTTCTGGTTCTATTTCTGATGAGTTAAAGTTTGTTACTAGCCGTAAAGATTTTAAGAGGCTTTCATCAGCCAAAATAAGAGACAATCTTTTCAATAGTGATGATCCAGCGCTTATAACTAAGAAGTTTTGGTCACATGTTAAGTATCAATCTAACTCCTGCCGTATTCCTAATTGTGTTAGTTATTCTGGACAGCTTCGGTTCAAACCCAAAGATCAAGCTGAACTTTTCAATTCTTTCTTTTATAACCAGTTTTCGGATCCTTCACTTTATGACAGTTGACACTGACATCTCCTATGTCAATGATGTTGATTTTGATATTGACTTCGATCATCGGGATGTTCGTAAGCTTCTTTCAGATATTAATTCAAATAAAGCCCAGGGACCAGATGGCATACACGGTAAAATTCTAAAAAATTGTTCCGTAGGTTTAGCTTACCCTCTAACATGCATTTTCGTGGATCCTACAACAGCGGCTACATTCCACAAGAATGAAAACTTGCAAATGTTGTCCCAATATTTAAGAAAGGTAAGAAAAGTGAGGTTGAAAACTATAGACCAATATCCCTTACTTGTTTAGTCATGAAAGTTTTTGAGCGCATTGTTAAACGTAAACTGCTTTCTTTGACAAGTACCCTTCTTGATCCCAGACAGCATGGTTTTTTAGAGCACAAGTCATGCACAACCAATATGGTTGACTTTTGTGATAGCCTGGCATTGTCTCTTAACGAAAACATTATCAATCATGTTGTGTATTTTGATTTTGCTAAGGCATTTGATTCTGTAAATCATGATATCCTTCTTCATAAGCTAAAGACCTTATATAACATTGATAATAATAATAATAATAATAATAATAATAATAACGCTTTATTTGTATACCGCTTAGGCCGTATAAGCGACCAAAGTCCAAAAAATGGAGTTGATACTGGCCAACAAAGCGGTGCAGATAAATTTACCTTAGTAGTCCCTTTTCTAATCAAAAATTCAAATTTATAAATTGTAGATTGATCTTAAAGTCCTGCGTCCATGACTACTGAATCACCAAAAATACTGTTCGCACATACAGGATAGGCTTGATGAAATAGATGGGTCTTGAGAGCCTTCTTGAAAACATCTAGTCGAGAGATGGAGCGTAGTGAGTAGGGAAGTGTATTCCAGATTTTAGGAGCAGTGTGAGAGAAAGCACCAGCTGTAGCCCTCAGCCTTGATAAAGGAGGGCGTTCCAGTAGGAAGAAGTCATGGTCCATTCTGACATGATGTTTACTAGTGTCCCTAATTTTGACCATTGTCCTTAGATATTCAGGAGCACAATCGTTTAGGCACTTGAAAACCAGTAACGCTATCTTGAATTTGATTCGCATTGCTACAGGTAAGAAGTGTAATTCAATCATATAGGGTGGTACACTTCTCAAATTTCTTACCAATTACATTCAAGGCCGTTACCAAAGAGTGGTTATTGGTAATGAGATGTCATCTACCCTCTCAGTTAATTCTGGTGTCCCCCAGGGCTCTATCCTTGGTCCTTTACTTTTTGTATTGTTTATCAATGATATTCCTCTTGGCCTTTCGGATAATACTGATATTGTTTTGTATGCCGATGATACACAAATCTGGCGTAAAATACATTCATCTTCTGATAATACTAATTTGCAAATGGATATAGACTATCTCTCTGACTGGGCACTAAGAAACAAAATGCGATTCCATCCAGCAAAATGTAAAGTGCTTATTGTTTCAGGAAAACCATCTTTATCTCCTCCATTCGCATATAATAATCTTGATGGCTCTCCTCTTGTGTATGTAGAGTTAGAAAAAGATCTTGGAGTCGATGTTACTCCTAAGCTAAGTTGGAATAGTCAGTGCGACAGAATTTTGACTAAGGCCTGCCAACAACTTGGTATGGTCAGAAGAAATGGCCATATTGTCATTGATCAGAAACGTCGCCGGGCGCTTTACCTCTCCCTGGTTCGTAGCCAATTCGAAAATTGCTCCATAATCTGGCGCCCTTGTATTGTAATAAATCACTTAGTGATAAATTAGAAAGTCTCCAAAAGAGAGCTATTAAATGGATTCTGTCTGAAGAGGGCCGCAGTTATCCACCTGAGCAATATGTCAAAAAGTGCAAGCTTGTCGACATTCTCCCTTTGTCTCAAAAGTTTGACTTGAATGATCTTATTTTTTTCCACAAAGTTCTGAACAATTTAATTCCTGTATCGCTGCCTCACTATCTCTCTTTATATCAGGGGACTTCTCGACTAAGACGTTGCCACCTCGACAGTCTGTCTATTGTGTCATCAATTTTACCTAAGTTAAGTCAGAATTCACACACCTTATGTACCTCAAATAGCCCACTGGCAAAATCATTTTTCTACAGAACTCATATACTGTGGAATGGACTCCCTTTACAGGTAAGACAGATTGTGTCTACTAGTCTTTTCAAAGCTGAGGTCACTAAGCATCTATGGAAATGTTTATTGGATAGTGAAACAACAGCCTAGCCTAGTCTCTTTGCTCCCCATATTATTATTATTTTTGTTTTATTAATTTTTTTATCTACCTTCCTATACTTTCAACATCATATCACACTTCACCCGCACACCGTCTCACACATTAATGACCATATCAGACCTGTATCTAATGTATTATATCTGGAATTTGACGTATTGAAATACCAATTTTGACTATATATCCACAGTTATTCACCATGGATTTGTTTGTTATTAAATAGTTTTTTCATAAATTTTTGGATTTAGATTGATTCGATGTAATGGGTCCAAGTTACTGCGGACATAGTTCACTATGTGTTTACCGTGTTTGGGTGCCCATCATATTTTACAGATGGGGGCGATATTTTGAACGATTCTATTTTATATTCATCTATTGCTGTACTCTGTAAAATTTGAAAAGTATTTAATAAAAAAACATGGCATCTATGAAATAATCAGAAACGTGTACCTTGGAAGATTTTGTTTTACTAGATTATCAAAATCACGTACTTCAACCAAAAAACGCATATGTCTCAGCAAATGCATTGTAATAAAGTTTGCTAATTATTGGAAGCTGTGGTCATTCGTTTTAAGTTACATGTCAGTGATGTTGGGAATGCGATATTGTATTATGGAGAAACAATTTCTCTTCGGAGAAAAGATTTCTCTCCGTAGTCTGATTCCTAGAATTATCGGCGGACATCTTGCCAAGACTAACTTTTTATTCCCCGATGATCCACAGTCCCTCACTATGTTGTATCCTCTGTGATGCAACGACCATAGCCTCGCTAATGTACTGACGTCATTCTCCATCGGCAACGCCCGAGTTTCATTCAACGACACAAAGCCGAACTGCTTCTATTTTGATCACGTGACCAGCGCGCGCAGCGCACATTAAAAAGACGTTCAGGCAATAACAATGAAAATTTGAATTAGTCTCAAGGCTAAGCGCGTTCCTGTTATGAAGTACCCGATCTTCCACATTTTCTCGTGCTTGACTGTCAAGTCAATTGTCGGATCTCGTTCGATTAGAATAACTGTGACGAACATGGAGCCAATTCACTAATAAGCAAAGTGCATTTTCCTATTATTGATTGTAGACTCTGGCGAGCAGCTGGCTGAAAGACGTACGTGACCGGGTGATGAATGTAGCGTTAAGCGATTATGGGTCCCATTATTATAAACGGTATATTAATTTGAAAGGTTGGTCGAATATATTACGTTACAATTAAAGTATCCAGTAAATGTTGTGATATTCATATTTTAGATGAGATTTGAGCGAAATAAATCTGAGTTCGTTTATGTTAACCACGCTCGTTATCTTAAGAACATATTAAAAACCCTAAAAATTGTTCATGTCATACCAGTTTCTTACAACAAAAAAATGCCGTCTGAAGAGTCACATAACATTTATTTAAATTAAGTTGAAATTCACGTGGTAGGAGGATTTCGTTTTTAAATGCCAAATGAGCGCAATTTCCTGATCTTTTTCATATCAGATTCACAAAAACCTCGGCTCATTGGAGACTTATTAATATTCTTACTTCTAATATTCGTTTTTGTTTCGCTGTTGTGTTATACTGGCCGGCTCACGTAATTCATGTTATATTGTCATGTGATTTTAGAGCATTGTGTCGGATAAGTAGCACTGTTAAAATATGTACATACGTGTACACTGTACATGGAGCAGAAGATTTCACCGGAGAAATAGTTCAGTCAAATAAATAACAATTTCTGCAGAAAACACCGCTTTGCTTCTGACGAAATAACCTGTCAACTTTATCATTCCGACTCCATTACTCTCTTTAACTCAAATCAAACAAAACCTGCAATTTTACTGAACACACCCGGCCTAAATTGGAATTTTGCCATAAATATCATGATTAATGATCAGCAACAGCAGCGTGATTGGCAACGTCACGTCAGTACACACATATTAAATCAGCAGGTGACAACACAGCTGACTTGTTAGTAAACTTTTTGGTATACAGATATTATATAATATATTATACTGTGCTGCTTTGACACTTTATTAAGTGTGAAAATATGTGTCAGCATATGTTGACTGCACCGCACCTAGTACAACGCCTAGAACACACCCGTACAAATAACATGTCAGGTCTGCATGCTGTGTAGGGTACATCCAAGCTGAACGCTTTTCTTCTAATTAAACCCTTTCTTCAGATAAGAACTTTTCTTCAGATATAAACTTTTCTGAAATGAAAACTCCATATATGTCGTAGTACAGTGGACATTATGGAGGGTTGATGTGCAAAATTGGCAGAATTCCAAAGATGGAATTGGAACTTCCGTGCGGAATTTGACAGTGAAATCATAATTACTTTTTCTGAGAAAGGCTTTCTCTTGTCCACATATTTTAACGTCGACTGATAACAATCAAGATGATAGGTCTCCAAATATGATTAGATTACCGCTCGTCGAGTGATGATCTCATGATCTGTGGTCTGTCACGTGGTCTGACACGTAGTCTGCCACGTGACATGTCTGATCTAACGGTACAAACTTTATACTTACTTTCAGACCGGAGTTGTACGAAAATATGAGGCGGTCACAAACTTGTCAGAGATAAAGGAGACGCCGTGGAAAATGCCAACTTTCCTACCGTGTAGTTTCCTTAAACATCTAAAGATGATTCCCATGTAACGAAGCCAAAGCACGAGGGAATTTCCCCTAACTATTGAATATTTGTAACAATAGAAACGTCCAAGATCTTGGAAATGATGTAATTTAATATTGCTACATCTTCTCGTGATACGAGATTTCCCCGCGACTGATTCCAAGAAATTTTAAATCTTGAGAATGAGAATATGGGCCCTAATTGGAATCACGGACAGGATAGTGGATGTACTATTATCTAACATGATTTAACTAATATGTAACATAATATTTACATTGACTATAAGAAAGGACCCTGTGTAACCTAATGCTGGTTGTTACTAAAGACATTTATATCTGGAAAGCTTTTACTAGCACAGAGCAAAAACTACTAGCACAGAGCAAAAACTACTAGCACAGAGCAAAAACTCTCTTGTCCCACCTTCGGGCCTTACAGGCAAGAACAAAGAACATAAAGATACAAAATAAATACAAAGATAAAACGCTGAGACCATACTTCATAGTATGTTCATTGTTCATTGTTCATTTTTCACTTACCAGGAATGGTTTGAATATCCCGATTGTTGTTCCTCAGTTTCGTCCTGAAACAATAATGGCCGTTAGACTTACAGACGAATGTAGCGTTAACAGTACAAACTTGTAAAGGTAAACTATTAGTGAATGTGTCCATTTGACGGACAGCAAATGAGCAGTTTACATGCATTACTTATAGTAAATAGTTTAACTATTTCTTCAGAACACACCTTACGTGGGCGTTTAATTACACCCGGAACATCGGACTATCACAGCGAATATTTGGATTTGAAAGTTGAACAATAGATCAAAGTGTGTACAAGATGTTTTGTTTTAGATTGGTTTACATTGAGAGATAACGAAAGAAAGGGACAAATAGTTGGGTATATTCCGTGGGACTAGTTGCGTATCAAAACTACACTCGGCAATGTCGAGTGCGTCTTTAGAGTGGTAGTTAGGTATAGACTGTGTAGAACAAGTGCTGTTTAACTGCTATCTGATATTTAACCTAGATTGAAGAATAGTTTTTTTTAAAGCTTTCCCTCAAATGGTTTATATTTGCAGATGTTAAGTGTAAAAATCAAAACGCTGACTTACCAGGATTTTAGATTTACTAGAGACAGTTTTTTTCAAATTTCCATTCCCAATAAATGAGGGTTTGATAAAAAACACTTGATTTTAAAACAAGCTGATCAACTAATTAATTTGTTTATTGATTAAAAAGAATAACTTACAGCCGCTCGTATCGGGTAAGATTCTTTGCAGGGGCGGCCTTCTTTTGAGTTTTAGCTGACTCTGAAAAAAAAACAATAAAGTGACTTAACCACGTAATTCACATAATTTGTTTACACAACACATTGAGGACAGATTAGTAGCTTTTATTACAAATTATTCATTCAAATAATTTCCGATTAATTGGATGAAGTTGTCGGTCACCAAAATAATCATAAATTATATTAATTAAATAACAATCATTAATAATTAACGTCATGGCTAATAAATTAAAGAACCCCATTTCTTTTTACTAACCTTGATGATTCCCCTCTAACATAGACTCAATGACGTCATTCTGTGCTCCCACGAACATATCCGAATACCGAGTGGGTGATCTGATCTTGGTAGGACCGATAGTGGTCCGAGCTCCAAGCCCACTGGTTACGTTCGTGTTGAACGTGGTCATGGGGCCACTCTTACATTATCTGGCATTGTTAATTAACTTAATTAGCTGGCATTGTTAATTAGCTAACTTAATTAACTTTGAAGGTTGGGTATAATTTAAAGGTGATGTGCAAGGGCCCCCTATTTTTAATCTTGTACTTAACTGGGGATTAGAACTTGCAGAGAAGTTTAAGAATATATCCCGTGGTTTTACACTTCAGTACAGACAAAGTTCCAGACAACCGGAAAAATGTGTCATTGATCTTGACTATGCTGATGACATCGCAGGAATGGATGACACTGTTGAAGGACTGCAAGAAACTACGGACAATATTGCGAAATACTGTGGACTTGGGGGTTTAAAGATGAACGCAAAGAAAACAGAGATCATGGTCATTGGGAAAGATACATCGCAGCACCCACTCCCAGAGAATAGGACCATAGATATAACTGTCGATGGAAACTCTGCAAAGCAGGTCACTCAATTCACTTATTTGGGTGCCAAAATTACATCAGATGGCAAGATTGATAAAGAAATAAGTGTCAGGATTGGAAAAGCAACCGGAGCTTTTAACCAACTCAACAACATTTGGAAGAATAAGAACATAAGCATTAACAACAAAGTGCGAATCTACATCGCAGCTGTTCTTACCATTCTGACCTATGGATGTGAGATATGGAACACGACTCAAGTGCAGACAAGAAGATTGGAGTCTTTCCATCAGTACTGCTTAAGAAGAATCCTGAGAGTGAGGTGGTTCCATCGAGTAAGTAATGAGGATGTTTTAAGAAGGGCATCAACAACTGCCCTTGCTGACATAATAACAACAAAACGGCTGCGTTGGTTTGGACATGTCAGTAGAATGCCTGAAGATCGGTTGCCCAACTATTTACTTGAATGGAAACCCAAGCATGGGAAGAGATCAAGAGGCAGGCCTAGGAAGAGCTTAAATGATGTGTTTATTGAAGATGCTGAGCAGAGATTGGATCGTAATGGACTCACGATTGATTGTATGAGAAGATTGGCTGCAGATCGAAAAGGATGGAGAAATATTACCCGCCGAAGTTGTATAATACAAAGTAATGACGCAGATGACGCAGACTAATCCTTTTGGATGGAGATCTCGCCATGTAACATGTATGTATGTATAATTTAAATTTTAAGAAGGATTAAAATGCATTTAAAGATGACATCAATGTTGAAAATAGACTTTGAGCAGCTTTACTTTAGGTGCTAGTAACTTTTCGGCGACATTACATGATTTATCTTTATAATATTTAGGACTTAGGTACTTTGTAAATTTATTGACTTTCAGGTCTCGCATCATGCATGTGCAAATTGATTAAGTTAGAATATAAAATTTAGCTTCAGAAATAATTAATCGATTTAAAGGAACTCCTGGACTTTAACCAATTAATTAATTATAGAGATTAATTTATTTACTTATAAAAGAGACAAAGAATAGACTGGTATCATGATAAAACACCTAACAAGAGAATACATTTACAAGTAAATGCAAAATAAAGAGTAAACTACTTAAGCATTTCCCTTTTGTATTCCAGGATTCATATTATAATCGGTAACTTTGTTAGTAACATACAATTCTAAACATCTTTAATATCTTTGGATCATGGAATAATAATCACGGTATGTAGTGAGTAATAAAAACCAAATGTTCTTTCTTTCTATAATAAGCAGCTTTTATCCGCAAAATAATACAGTGCCAGTCTGACAACGAAGCATGGTAACGGCTCTGAAGTTGAGGAAAAAGGAACTTGGTTCCGCGATTGCAGAGGTTTGTTAAAACAAGTAACTTACAATTTATGACACTAAAATCTTTCACTAACTATTCATTGTATCAAAGTCTAGAGCGAGGTTATCAAGGTAGACATTATGCCATTTTGAGTTTACTAATAGGCAGAAATCTTGTAAGGGTTATAAAACTCAGTTATCCAACTGGTGTTTTCTGCCTTAATTTTTCCTTGGATCTTTATGATATAAAGATTATAAGATGCATAAATTATGTATAGAAGAAGAATTTGATCAGTATTGCTTTAGCTTCACTAATATTCAAATTTATGCCATATAAAGTCTCAAAATTCTAAGATTTATACCAAGAATCTTCATAATAATTGGAAGAATCATTGGCCACCATGCTATCATTTCGGCACTATGCACTTGAAAATGTTAAGATTACAGTATGTAAGAGATGAAAGTATATAAACAATTTTGAGCTATTGTAATATCGACTCGAGTCACTATGTCTGAATCTGGGAAAATCAAATTATTAAATAAATAATCTTAATGATATCAATATAGTAACATAACCTAAAATTACTCTATCAATACCATAATATTATTAACTAAACCTTCTTAACACCTACTAGATCTTATAAAATAGAGAAACAGAAACCTAGTTGGTCTATACATAATTCCTAGCACAGAAACCTAATTGACACATGACATAATTGTTAGTGAGTTGCCAGTTACAGTTCCACCATGATATGTGATTCCATATCATATCATATCATGTGACTATGATACTAAATTGTTACAAGTTAAGAGCCATCAAAAGGGCCTATAATAATTGAACAAAAGATAAAGAAATCTAGTTTTATCTGTACACATGAAATATATTCATCAGCTTATCTGTCACCTTGCATCCCAACTATTCAGTTTTCGCTTTTTCGAAAACCAAGTAAGTCGATTTGTTGATATTTTCATAAATCTGCATAAATTTGATACCTTTTTTGTATTCCTCAAAGCGGGGGGGGGGGGGGGGGATCAGGTACCAAGTGTCGTACGTACAAAAAAGACCCACCCACCCCCTTGGTGGTACTAACTGTTTCTTCGGATAATACTTAGGACACCCACCCCTTTTGCGGTACTAACTGTTGAGAAATCACGGTACTAACTGTGTCTTGGTATATAAAATAAGATACCCACCCATACATTGCTTTAAACTTTTAAACAGCTCATTAAAAATTGGGAAATGGGCAAATTATACCCATTATTTAGTAGGGGTTTTGTTTTCAATGTAGTCGAATTAGATAAAAAGTTACAAAAAAAGGAAACATTTTTTTTAAAACCCAAAAAAAAGGAAAAAACCTCAAAACCCATTCCCAAAAGTGAAATTAGAGGTAAAATGGGTTTTTTTGGGGTTGGACACCCCTCTTACCGTGTACCATGTACTAACTGTTTTTCTGGGAAATGAGCAGCAGACCCACCCAGACCACTTAGTACAAAAGTACTAACTGCGTTTTGGAAGAAAATATGACCCACCCCCAACGTCACGTACGATTCTGACCTTATGATCCCCCGATCAAAGTACTATATTGTATCTCCTCAATAAGAATACTATTTTAAGTTCCCTTAATTTGATTATGTATTTGGCTTAAATCGTCGTGGCTATCCAAATCAATTAAAGCACCTTTCTTAAGTGTAAATTAGTGAGTGAGTTACTATTTACGGTTTCTTTCAAAGAGAAATATTTAATCTCTTGACGGTTTCTTTTGATATTTAATCAGCTATAGTAATACTGAATTATTATCATATGATAAAATATTCTGTTATATAGAGTAACACAGCATTACCCTTAATCACGTTACGGACTGAGCCAACGTAGATTGTAGAACCGGACGAGCTAATTCCTAACTATTCCACTATTTGACATTGCAATGCATTCAAATTTATTTATACCGGCAAAATTTGAATTTACTTTAGGTTTTGGATTGGAGTTTGAAGTTATATTTATCTAAGAAGAATTTTGACAGTCCACCACAAAATACCTGCTTTCATACTTAAATAATAATTGAATTTCCACTCCCCTCAACATGACGTATATTACATGTTTCAGTAAACCATTCTTACCAAAACTTTATACAAATATGTGTTTTTCAGGGATGCAAGACGCAGTTAAATCTTTTAAAATGGGCTCTATTTACTAACTAGCTGTCTAATCAAGTCATGTTTCTATTAATCTTTTTAGTATACCAGTTTCGGCTGTAGCTGTAAAGGGTCACCGAAATAATTCTCAACATCACCGATGTATGACAAGATTTCTTAACAAAAAGAATTTAAAGCGAAGGACAAGATGTGTAGTAACTCATCAATTTGTGTCACGTGATGGTTAGGTCTATTTATAAGCTTTATCTGACTGTTTACCTGACCCGTGCAGTTCAGAGGTGTAACAAAGAAGACCCCATAGTTGCCTTACACTTATTAAAGTTTACTATGCTTTAGATGACTTACCTTTCGAAAACAAGACGGTTACAAAACTCCATCGTCTCTCTAAAGTGACTGTGCAGAACTCTATTCAACGACAAAATCCATGCATACTGCATATCGTACGATCAAAAAACATTATATTTGCGTTTTTTAAATTCTTGTTGCACAGCAAAAATGCCAATGAAGAGTGGTTTCAAGACTTATTAACACGATATGGTAAATATTGGGGACATCATAGAAAGAATACTTCCTTCCAGTCGGTGAAACTCACGAAATGTAAAACTGTGGTATTTTTACTCTTGCCCGGGCATGTGTCTCTAATATTCACCCGCTCAATATAATATAGACAAAAACAATCTAGATGACATCAAATTCTTATCATACTTGTCACGTGATAATGTCTATAGCAAAGCATGCTTGCCTTAAATGATAGTATTCACAGGCTTCATAGCTTTCCTCAAATAAATATAAAGGCAGTATCGTGCGAAACAAGGCAAACTGAACAGGAAGTTCTTCCTCAACATCTTTGGGAAACAATTCTCCATCAATCTTGTATTTGTTACTAAATGCAGCTAATAACCCATGGCATTGTGCTTAAACACTGTCCATCATAAATTCCTTTTCACAAATAACATCATTGCAATATTACAATTTCATTTCAAATAAAAATAAAACGTTAATATCATACTACCTATATGGGTTCAACTTGTTTGATCAAAGAAAAATCAAATACAAATTCAGCTATATAATCTAACACTAGTAGTTAGTTCACTTCTATCATCTAAAATGTCCCTTTGAGAGTTCAAGACTGAAATTCCATAAGATCATCGAAGCAATATAGCAACTTCATTACACTAAAATCATTACTATCATGTGAAGTTCTTATGTGGCATCAAAAATATTTCACATAGAACAAAAACCTAAAATTCCTATGATACATACTAGTAATACTTTCTTATCAAGAAATGTTTATACATTCCCTATAACAATATTATCATATATTATGAGAAAACAATAGGGCACAACTGATTTCACCTTCTCAACTACTTTTTGATGAGATTAAAGAATTCCCCATCAGTTTTATCCATTTTGAAGACATCCAAGAACTTTTGCGGTGGAGATGGTTCAAGCTGACAAAATGTGAGATACGCTTCTCTGACATGGGCTAATGTTTGCAGCTCTGACTCAAGATACAGCAGACACAACTTAGAGTTTCCTGTCAGCTGTTTCAACTCGAAAAAGTTCTTAATGATCCTTGAAACAGCGCTGGAGGCTGTTATTTTGCAAATTTTTTGATATGTACCATCATGGACCCAGACCTTGCAGTCAAATGTTGTGGCGTCATTAACGACCATCTTTGATATCACATCCTCACTGATCGACAGTTTGAGTGCCTCATGTAGGGCAGCGAAACCACACTTAAAATCTTTAAATAAGCCATCATGTGAAGATAGGCCCATCACAGGGAAACTGGGGTGATAGAAATTAGATAAAGCAGGAAGATTATTCCTGTTGGGAAGGATCATGTCATCTTGGGCTAACTTCCTACTCAAAGAATAGTCCACAAAACTGGTTGAAAATCTGGGACACAAATCACCCTCATCACTCATTGATGTTTTTGAGGAAACACTATTCAGTGTGGTACTATTGTTAGAGGACTCTATGCTGTTGACCTCGTCTTCAGATAACAGAGAAAATGTCCCAGATGCCACGGCAGACTGCACTGCCTCTACAACCTTTTCACTCGGGTCACATGCTAGGTCAGGCAACGTTAGCTGTGAACTGTCAACAGCCATAAATTTGGCTTTCTTGTGCCCGATGCTTTTGACGAAAACTGTGTTTCTCTGAAAATAGGTTGTTAAGGCAAGAAAGCCTTGCAAGAGAGTGACATCTTGGGAGATGAATGCAATGCGTACGGGAAAATTGCTTCCTGGCCCACCGTACAAATCGAGAAACTTTCTACTTTGTGAGCTGAGCTGAGATTGCAGGTTTGGATCACATATATTTGAGTGCCACGTTGAGTTCGCAGAAAGAATAGCTGTTACTACAGTTGACATGAACTTCTTTTCGCCCTCATACTGATGATAAAGGTCACATATCAGATCTGCAACATTGTTCTTTGCTTGTCTGCTTCCAACAAGTCCACCCAAGTGAACACTTTGCCAGAGGTTACCAATCCTCTTCACAGAGGCCGACATGTTGAGGTAGTACAAAAAACCATCAGAAATACCGTTTATTATCTGCTCATAGTCCGTGCTTTTCCCTAAATCTAAGTAATAAAACAACCGCTTCCTACATTCCATAGCTTGGGCCTCAATTATGTGCAATCTTTCAAATATGAATGACTTAAGTTGCTCAAAATCGATCCCCATACAGTTGGCTTTGAAAAGAAAGCCAATTCCAAACTTCTCCTTACGAGAATTAAGTCCCTGAGTAGCAAGCTTACTGGGAGAGGAAGCCACTCTCTTCAGTCCTGGCACCTTTTCTCCAGTTCCCAAATATGTGTTTGCAGGAATACTTGATGAAAAGGGTGGGTCTGGAGTTGTTGCTGATCCTTTGTTTCCGTTGAAACTGCTTATACCAATACTGGACGCAAACGATGCAATACTAGATGCAATAGACGACACTGAGTTAACAGAGGTCGACTGGAGTTCATCATCTGTAGATCTCTCTTGATAATCAACTAAACTACCAGATCCTGATCTGTATGAACCATAGCCGCTGGTATTAGGGGACCTTTCCTTCCGATGCAGGTGTCGATCTAAAAGGGTGGTCATATTTATTTAAAGTATTATACATAATATGCTTAATGACAAACTGAGATAAGAAATTAATATTCATTACAGACTACAACACGGTGAAACTAGCAAGTAGCATAAATTGGAAATATTCTCTTACCATCAAGGAAAGTGTAACACATGAAAATTTGCTTGGTATTTTCTAGTATATGAATCTTTGACGCAACCCCATCATGTTTTTGTACTGGATAAGACCCAAACATAAGAGCCCCTATTCCAAGTCTTCTCAGCTCTGCCTCTGATAGCTTTACATTAGACCCTTTCAAAGTGTGCTTATCACCACGTAACTGAAACAATTTAAGAATATGAAATCTTTGTACAATAAATAACATTAAAATGGGAACAGACTCTTTGAACTATACAATTTCATCATCACAAAGGATTTGTTTAACTTACTCTCATGAGAAAAATAGATGTATCTTCAGAAGAGAATTTGATGGCTTCATCTCCACCACCCTCGTAGAACTGATCATAGTCAACTATTCCTTGTCTTGTGAATGTCAGCAATCTTTTAATTTTCTTAAGACTCATACCGCATCTCTAAATTCCATTTCTTGTTCCATTGTGTTCTGGAAAATTTGATTAAGAATCTGATAAAATTTCGAAATGGAAAATATAGGATACAAGGATACAGAAATGATAATTCTGTGCTAAAATTAAATTTCTTGTTTTATTGAATTTCTTGTTTCATTGATAATTACATTTATTAAATTCACAATAGTGGTAATCCTGAAATCACATCATGACAAGTTTTGTTAAAAAGTTATGGTCCTTTCAGTCTTAGTTTTTTTTACAAAATTTTAGTTAACTGTTCTATACCCATCCTTAGCACGTAGTTTACTGGAATTTTTATCACTTGAGTTGCATGGTCAATCTGCTCAATCTGAACTTGACTGGTTTGGACAAATTATATTTCGGAGCTCCAAGACGACAGCAGTTCCTGACTAAAGGCTTCTCGCCGATTTCACCCATATAATTATTCTAAAAGTTACCAACAATCAAAAATACATTCCAGATTAGCCATACTAAGCCAGATTGTTCTGATGCGGACGATGTGTATTTTAAACTGAAGTCCTTCCTTGCATGCCAGGAGAGTACCACCCTTAACTCACACACACAATAGGAGGGACCACAGACTCGGGGCGTCACAATCTACGTAATCCCCATGGTTGCCGATGGGAACTGTAAATAGAAGCTGGACTGCCACTAGGAGTTTGTGATCCGAAGGAAAATATTGTAGCTGCATCCCATAAAGCTTGTATAATTAGCCTTAGAATTAAATTTACACAGCAATACAATAAGAATAAAACTAATTTAAAGAAGCTTCAAACTGCTGTGCAGGACATTCAAGTCAGTCAAAAACTGTTAGAATACCTTCTAAGGACAACGTATAGTATGTAATAAGTTATAAGTTAATGAATATGGTACAGTGAGATTTAACCTTAAACTGTGGGCATGAACGTAACCATTAAACTAGTACGAAAATTACATAGATACCCACTTTGACATTTGTTGTCAGAATTATGTACATTTATATACCGAGAAGTGTAGACCTTAGAGTGAAAAATGGCATCAGGTCAGACGTGGTAAGCTGATAAAGTAAGAGAGAAATAATTTTGTCAGTAAAACACAGGGACCTGCTACTTAAAAAAACTCCGAAACACCTTATAGTTATCACAGAGCCGGACTGAAGAAATAGTCAAAGCTACTGTTTAAAATTTCATATGATGAGATACCATTAATTACATCCAACATAGATGAGGATTTCATACAATGTGAAAATTAGGCAGTACATTCGACATTCAGCTTATATTATGTTCACTGGAGTTGAATTCCAGCATTTTGCACCCAAATTCGAAAAGCTTATATGCGTTCTAGATTTGGGGAAATACAGGTTGCAACTCTCAGCATCACGTGAGCCTCCAGATACATAGGCAAATTTACTTGTAAATGATGACGGTGCACTCTCATTAATAATTGTATGCATATATGTCGACAGATGGAGTTGTCTCCTTAAATAATGTAAGGGAAGCCATTTCATATCTTGATGCACATTTACTGATGGTTCACGACAATTGACATCGAGAGCAATTTTTTCTACTTTTTTGTACAAAATATTGAAAGAATTTAGTTTGGTTTTGGCAGCCCTACACCATATAATATTCAGGTAATCAAATTGCAAGGGAGTATAAGAGCATTTACACACATTTTCTATGTTTCAGTGGAATGAGATTTTAAGACCTACATAATTCTTTTATTCTTCTAGCAAATTTAGATTTCACATAATCAATATGGTCCTGAAATTTTAATAAGTTAATTGTTTATCATTTGTTATAATTTGTATGCAACCCGCCGCGCACGAGTGCGCGGCTCCCCTGTATCGTAGAAACGCTTAGTGAAACAACAATGGGGGTCACGACGTTATACAATTTATCATGAGACCTAGATATTTCTGAGATTTGGTTTCTTCTGTATGAAGACAGTCATTTTTAAATCAAAAGGGATTGACAGCCTGTCAAAATTAAAACATTTTCGAATACTATGAATGAGAACTTTGCAACATAAATATAATGGCTTTTACTAATTCGCTCGCCCAAAAACGGTTATAGATAAACCCTAATCCCAACCCTAACCATATATAATTGATAATAATAACCCCAAAGCTATCCATAACCCTTACCACAACCCTAAACCTAACCCGAGTCCTAAACAGTCGAATTCATGTTTTACTAGCCTGTCACGTGACCAAAACGGTTTTTTGCCTATAACTCTTTAGGGAAACATTTTTACCCTATGTCATGGGGGGTGATTCGGAATCAGCGTCCAAAAATACACCGGTTGAAATCAATTTCATACCCAAAGGGCCTTTATTCACAAGAATTTTCTTAACATTTGGGCGAGCGATTTAGTAGGAGCAAGCATTAATTGGTCTCACATTGACCATTGTTTATGATCTGGCCCGGCGCGCGCTACTTCGAAGAAATTTAGACGAGTAACATCCGTCCGCGTCAAGTCTCACAGGTTGTTAATTTGTAATTCTAAGCCATTACTATACTTTCAATTACATTGCCGTATAAGCCTCCGAGTGGCATAAAGAATTTAATTCCTAGCCATAACATTACCACTGCCTTGACATTGCTTTAACCTTCACATAGCCATGTGTCTACGCGTACTGCATGACGCGCTGTCGCGCGCTACTGCAAGCCCGGGCTCTGGTTAGAGCTTGCTCTAACCAGAGCCCTCTCGCTTGCAGTAGCGCGCGACCGCGTCACGCAGTATAACTTACTGGACCGCGCTCAGCCTGTCATTCCGCCTAATCATATGTTTATGAACATGATATAGCCTGAGGTCCCCAGGTAAAGTATAACGCGTATACGGCTCTTACTAAATCGCTCGCCCAAAAATTTCACGTGACTTTGGTTTTTTTGGTTTTGCAGCCGTAAAAAACGGTTTTACATAAACCCTAATCCCAACCCTAACCCTAACCCCGAAGCTATCCATAATCTTAACTACAACCGGCCTAACCCTAACCCTAACTCTAAATAATCGAATTCACGTTTTGCTAGCCTGTCACGTGACCAAAACGGTTTTTTGCCCATAACTCTCCAGAGAAGCATTTTAATCCTACGTCATGGGGGGGTGATTCGGAATCAGCGTCCAAAAATACACCGATCTAGATCACTTGCATGCCTAAAGGGCCTTATCACAAGAATTTTCTTAAAATTTGGGCGAGCGATTTAGTAGGAGCGCGCGTATACAGTATACACATTGTATCACGTTGCGACCCCCACGGTCGTTTCACTATACACTATAGTCCTGACGATACAGGGGGATACACTATGGTCCTGACGATACAACGTATGACAATATTAGTAGAGGCTCTTACGGGCAAAAAGACGTGTTTTCTGCTACGAGTTTAGAGACCTAACCGCTAATTGGACACAATAGTATGATGTCTAAGGATCGATAATATGTTAAGAAGTATAAATTTGGCCTTATTAGTCACGTGCTATACCAATGCGCGTTTTAAACTTTGACAGTCTATTACTCTAAGGCAAATAAAGTAATTATATCCATATTTTGTCAGCAATAAGATCACATTATTTTCTATTTAGTGTGAAAATATGAGCTAGAACGGACATAATCTCGCTGAGTTATAGCTGTTTGAAATTTATGATGAACGCGCGGGTGCCAATTGATAACAACTAAATGCTTTTGCGCGTAGTGCGCGTCGAAAATTTGGCAAAAACGCTTGCGGAGTGACAATATTCAAACTTCGATTAAGTATATGAAGTGGGTACTTCTCGGAAAGGAAAAATTTAGGCAAACACGATGTGACTATTTTTGGGTTGATTTAATACAACTGCAAAAAATTATTCAAACTTAAAGCAAAAAAGTCAAAATTTTTACCACTTTTTTGGATTTTTACCTCAGAACAAATAGAGGGATTTGTTTTATTTTTATACAATCTTGTGCGGCTGTCTTTTAGCTATCTTTATGCAAGTTTTGCCGACATGCCAACAAAATTAACTTGCTCAAAATATCAAAAAACATGGTTTTTTGGCCTATTTTTGGCCCAAAAATCGGTTTTTTGCGATTTTACCCCAGAACAATCAGTCCAATCATCTTGAAACCACTTTCAATCGATTCTACGGTCAAAAATACGTCTAGTAAGGTGTATCTGGGGTCCCTAACGTATCGAGCAGACAATGCCCGTAAGAGCCTCTACTATATACACATTACCTGAGGACCCCAGGCTTTAATGTTGGTAAACAACATAGAGATTATATATATATTAGGCGGAATGACAGGCTGAGCGCGGCCCAGTAATATACACATGGCTATGTGAAGCCTTGACACACACTGCAACCCCTTATATTATGCCTTTTGATCGGCCGGCCGCGAGAACTAGGTATACATTATACAACGTGTAGCAACCACTTGTATCACGTCGTGACCCCTATATCGTCGTTTCACTATAGTGAACTCCTGTAGAGTTTTTACGATACACGGGGAGCCGCGCACTCGTGCGCATCTTAATTGACGATGTCAATTCATCTCAGCTCGGCGCTGTGAGAAGCCTCATTGAGTGCGCTGTGAGGAGCCTCGTTGAGTGCGCGGCGCGGCACAGTAACGCATCGCGCTAGACAAGTTTTTCGCCAATATCTCGTCAGGGGAGTATTTTAACCCTATGTCATGGTGGGTGATTCGGAATCAGCGTCCGAAAATACATCCATTGAAGTTGGTTTCAACTAAACTGTCTGGGGCCCTTCTAGAAATAGAATGTAGAACAATTCGAAGATCGACTGTAGAGTGATTTAGCACGCTCGCGAGCGTGCTAAATGAAAATCGACTACAGTCGATCTCAGAGATTTTTCTAAAAGGGCCCCCGATACGGCGATAGTAGCTGAGACCAACTTGGATCGATGTATTTTCGCACGCTGATTCCGAATTTTTATGTACAAGAATACAATTACATTTTACAATTGCTCACCTGGGGACCTCGAGCTATCATGTTCATAAACAGAGATTAGGGGTCGTTCACATATTACGTAATCAATATTTTAGCAATTTTTACCCCCTCCCCCCCTCCGTAATCAAGACCCACCCCCCCCCCTGACAGCAATATTACGTAATCAAGGCCTGACCCCCCCCCCCCCCTTTGACTTTTTTCCCTGGAAATCATTTTTCTTTACGTTTCATGCTACCCTGATCATTGCATGATGAGCCGAAATCATTGTTATGATATCCGGCCAAGCACCTTTCAAACTACTTGCTAGTTGCTATAGTGGATGCTATAGTGGATATCCGATCAATTCTAAATTTTATCACTATCATAATGAAATTGGAATTTGAATTAACATATTGTCAAATTGTTATTATAATCAACCGTAAGCATTTGGAAACCCCCCTCGGTTGATTACGTAATATGTGAACGACCCCTTAGGCGGATGACAGGCTGAGCGCGGCCCAGTAAACAATTGCACTTGCAGATTGATTAGTAATCAGTTACTAATCATATCACTGCAACTACAAACTACTTACACTAATTATACACAATAGCTGTGCGTAAAACTGATTACGGAGGGGAAATTGGCCCATTACCTTAACTTCGCTCCTTCGCCCTGATAGTGATTGTTCGTGTAACGTGTTGATGCTAATTGATGGAGGTGGATAAATTATTGGAATTTGTTCCAACTTGAAAGCTGGATTGGTGTAATATAAATCGTCATAAATGATGACAGAGAAAAGTGAAACAACGTTTTAGGAAGTCGGCTGAGCTAATATATTATCATTTATAAATCTTCAAGCTTTATCCAACAGGTTACCCAGAATTTTAGTTTTACAAATTAGTTCTCGTCGTTTAATTTTAACGACGCAGTCAAGAGTAAGGGAATCTTCTACTTCTAGTGTTATACAATCTGCCTATCTCAAACGTGCAGTATAGTATAACTATAGATTTTATATAATATTAAAAATGAGCAAATTCGATAATCAATTTCTCTCCACTTCATTTCTAACTGAAACTAGAGTTAATTTACAAGTCTTATAATTATATCATGTCACTGTCAACGACCAACGTTCATCTTGCATAATGACATATGTGATATGGCTAAACAAAAGCTCAGATAATGCTAGTGCGATCGAGACATTTTCCCTCCAAAAGCTTTAGATTCTTTAAACAGGACTGTCAGTCACATAATGATTAACCCACTTCTTCAAGTTCAATGCTCATAATATATAAAAAGGATTAATCACCCGATTAATCCAAAGCTATCATTTAGATGTATTCATAAGAGGTCACCAAATTTGGGTTGGACTTGGAACGTGAAATTAACGAAGGAGCTTATCCAAGGGCATGTGAGTGTTTGTATAACTTGATTTTTGCAATTTTCTAATGCAGCGATTGGACTCGGTTAAATTAAGAGCTCTGAAGAAATGATAGCCAGACATTGAATATCACGATACTTCTAATTCTCCTAACTGAACATCCACAATATGATCAAAGAATGAAGGTCTACTCCATCCAGTAGTCAGTAAATACGCTAAATAGTAATACTAATACTTACTACTTAGTGAGCTACAGTAAAACACCAAACTCTAAATCAGTTACTCCTGGAGCAAATAAGAGCCTGGCTACACAACTTACTTCAGCATCTTTGGATCTACTTTAAATTCCACCTATTCCATGTAAAATCTTCATCTTTTTGGAGTGAAACTGGTTCAGAGTTGGGATTTTTCTGTAGGCTAGAACCATTTGAATTCGACCTTATCATTTGTCAATGAAGTATAAAAATCTTTTAAAGTAACCCCACACGTAAAACACAACAAAAGTGAAAGCAGCCCGATTTTTACATTGCCAATCATAACAGATTGAGATGATGCTCCTGGTGGGGACATGACACGTGACAGCAATATGCCAATCAGCTTCCACTGCTGACCAATCAAACCCCAGAATCACTGTCATGTGTCAAACAAATAAGCCTCACCTCCCCACCAGAATCAACATCTATAATTGGTCGATTTACAAACGCAGACAAATGTAACCGTGGTGTTCCCACCACTTGTTTAGGAGGCTGAAAAGTAGTCGGCGCTCCAGATTCATGGATCACAATATGTCATTGAATCATACACTACCTTATAAGGCTAACAGATACCCCAGGTTTATCCTCATAAAACTAAAAGGCATGTCTAAACCATCATTTAATCTGTGAACCTTGACAGCGTATTATTTACAAGAACAAGTTGAGGGACACCCCGGCAACAACAAAAAACATTGCTGAGTTGCCATTAAAGCTGAAGAACTGTCAGTTTTTTGAGTAAACAGTTTTTGATAACAAAGCAACGATCAATCTTACTATTTTGTTGCTCACATGATCTGAGAAACAAGAAATCCTACAGACAATAATCAGTGTTCTATCATTCTGACGTTCAGTAAGGCGGTTAATTTTGATTCATTTGCAAATACTGGTTTGAAATGATCCGTGTGAGCTCCAACTCACCAAACTGATCATTCAATAAACGAATATATGTTATGTAAAACTCTGAATTTCTAATTTGTCTAAAAATATTCCTCTGATTTAATAAAAATACACAACGTTGAACAACGCAGCATTGAACCACGTTTAAAACATTTTCACTCCCTCAACTGACCTGTACAACACAACCCTGTCTGAATTTGTGAAACTACTTTCCTAATATGTCAGGCCGAATCGTAGTCATCATCTTTTTTGGAATATTCTGGATCTTTTCCGATAAAGTCAGTGAATCGTCTCAGTAATGTTCTGCGTTGAGCTTACTGAATTGGACAGGAGCGGCGATTATGTTGTTGTCCTCTAAGCTTACTTCGTCGTCGTTAAATGAATTAGGATTAACGATAACCTGAGAATAATATTGTTTTAAATTACTGTTTCATGGGGAATGGGGACAGAGGCAACATTTAACTGCGGCTAATTTGGTGAACAATACGGCTCGAGCGCAGCGATTATTGATAGTCTATGTAATAAGCGCCAAGAGTTGGCACAGAATTATTTCTCTCCGATTTTGGCGAATTTACGCCTAGGGCTTAATTTAACGACATACCCAGTTGTTTAATCTTCCAGCTCAAACATTTAAAGCTAGTGTAGACTGTCCCTCATCACAACAAGACCGATGGAATGGATGTAATTAGATGGTGCACAATAGTGGTTGTATGTCAACAAACTCTGCCCTTGTAGCCCTATAATATAACTTAGCCGTATTGGTCATGGTGCGATGAAGGAAAGTCTCGACTGACTCCGAAACACAAAGAGTAAAGACGTAAAACTTATAAATATAAAGAGTTTACCGGTACAAACCCCTAGAATAGGTTACAACACCGATAAAACTTTGAAGGAGAGCCAAGTTTGAGCTACAATATGAAACAATTGCCCTGACGCACGTGAAATGTGTATCTGATGAGGGCGGTAGTAAACTGAATACAGATATACCTAATAAACCGTATCGTTTACAATTTAGTACTAAATTTTTTAAACGTTTGTTGTACGCCTTGAGAGTTGAGTACGATAAGTAAGTGTTTCATCCTAATCCTATTGAAGGTAGCTCTGGAACTGGCGATGGGATCCAGAAAGTGCCGTCCTAAGAGTCTGGGTTGTTGGACTGACGAACCTTTAAAAAAAAGGCAACATTCAAGTGCAAAATTTTGCGAAAAGTGTCTTCCCACTCTTACCTAAATTTAAAATTGTTTAAAAGTAGTTCACTTTCATTGCCAAATATGAGTGTGGTTTCACACCAATCAAGAATTATTAAAGGAGCAACCTTTTCCTTTGAACACCGAAATCTTATTTCAACTAGTCAACTCAACATTAACCGTTCAAAAGCAGTTGATATGAATAATCAATGTGCATCTTGGACCTGGGGTCATTAATTCGTTTTCACTAGATTATTATAATGTTTTATATCGGTCACTTCTTCTGGTAGGACCACTACTGCGTGGATAGATTTTACAAGATTTAAGTTTGAACACGTTTATCGTTATTATATAAGAAATTTATCCGATTGGAGTTATAAATTTTCTCGATCAGAACGCATTGATTTTGTAACATGCGTTGTTTTTAACCTTTAATTAAATTGATCTATAAATGAAGACAATCAAGAGTACTGTTAACCTCGTACATTCGTAGCTAAGGAGCATGCAGATGATATTTTCAGTAGCCGTACCACTCCTACTGGTAGGCCTTATTCTACCAAGCCCAGCAACCTGCACCAAAGTACCTGACAGTTCTACCACTGGTTTAAAGTTCGTTGAAACAGCTAAGGATTATGTGGTTTTTAAACCCGCTATGGAGCCCCTAAAAGAATCGTTTTCCATCTGTGGATGGGTAAAGAAGTTGCGTTCTTCAACAGACAGATGGTGGTTTGCATACGGCTCATCAGCCAGTCCTTATCAGGACATATTGATAGAAGATACAGGATGCACCTATATCTTCAACGCAGGATTGGACATGAGGAGTAAAATAACTGCACCTCTAGGGGAATGGAGACATCTCTGTGTTTCGTGGTCCCTGTCTTCTAGGGCATTCAGGTTCTACTACGAGGGTGAATTAATAGGCACCAAAGAAACCGCATCGGGCAAAAAACTACCAATTGATGGCTACATGGTCCTTGGAAACGAATTTGATAGTTTTGGAGGGGGTTTTGAGGATGGTAATGCATTCGGAGGAGAAATGTTTAAAATAAATGTGTTCAGCAAAGAACTGACGGGAGTGGAGATAAAAGAAATGAAGGACGGAGGAATTTGCTCCGAAGTTGAATTGAGATATGGCCGAACAAGGTATTTGAAATGGAGTGACTTCCTCCTTGAGGAGAGATCCGGAAATGTTACAGAGATAGATGTCGGGTGTGATAATGAGTCGAGCAGATAGGATATTCTATTCACAAGTCCATTTCTGAACAAACCGCTGACGCAGGATATGGTAAACAGTCTCCGCCATGGATGGGATATCTTAGGTAGGTTTGCACATGGCATGATCAATTTACTCTCTATGTGCAATGTTTAAATTTGAATTAACAAATTTTTATAAATTTGGTAATACAACTAACAACATTTCAGAGGACTTCGTCGGATCGACTGTTACGGAGCGCTTCATACGACATTTCAAGTTTTATCACAAATAGGAGTAAATCAGAAATCAACACGAACATGGGTCCTAGTGGAGACTTAACTTTGTTAAGTGAATCGTAATGACGTGATAAAAATATGTTCACTGCATTTTTAAAAGTTGAAACGTTTTTCGGTATTTGGAATTTGGATTTTAGGTTTCTTTATCTGTAAAAATTCCCCCATACATCGTATATAGTATAGTTCAACAATTTAATTCATTCTGAATTTCGTTTCAATTTTATTTCAATAACCTTCAACTATAATTCAGTATAGTATGGACACAGGACAAGCATTGGCTTTACACGTGAATAGATACAGCAGTGCCTGTCTCAACTTTTCCATATCTCTCAATTTCTCCCACACAAATTGTTCAAAATAAATAGATACTAGATAGAAACATGTATTATGGTATTCTATTCATTTTGACATTTGAAATACTGGGGGGGGGGGGGGGTGTCATGTCCGTCTATGTCCGCCTATGTCCTGTCCTTTTTGGATTCTATGAGACAACGGACGTGTTTTTTGGGACATTGGCGGACACGGACGGACATTGGCGGACTCGGACGGACATTGGCGGACTCGGACGGACATTGGCGGACTCGGACGGACATTGGCGGACCCGGACGGACATTGGCGGACTTGGACGGACATTGGTGGACATTAGCGGACATTGGTGGACATTAGCGGACAAACATTTTGAGGACTGGAGAGTACTGAAGAGTACTGAGGAGGATGGCTGAGGAGGATGGCTGAGGAGGATGGCTGAGGAGGATGACTGAGAGGATCAGGAAGAGGAGGAGAACTGTTGAGAACTGTTGAGGACTGATGAGGAGGACTGAGGAGGGGAGGGGGAAGAGGACTGGGGAGGATCAGGAAGACCCAGGAGGACCCAGGAGGAGGAGGAGGAGGAGGACCCAGGAGGAGGAGGAGGACTGAGGAGGATGGCTGAGGAGGATGACTGGGGAGGATGGCTGAGGAGGATGACTGAGGAGGATGACTGAGAGGGAGGAGGAGGAGGACTCAGGAGGAGGACTCAGGAGGAAGAGGAGGAGGAGGAGGACTCAGGGGGAGGACTTAGGAGAAATGAGAAGGAGGACTGAGGAGAACTGAGGAGGAGGAGGAGGAGGAGGAGGAGGACTGAATAGGAGGAGGAGAAGGAGGGGGACTGGGAGAGGACTGGGGAGGAGGAAGACTGATGAGAAGGATGAAGAGGAGGACCCAAGAGGAGGAGGACTGAGGACCGAGGAGGAAGAGGAGGAGGAGGACCCAGGAGGAGGAGGACTGAGGAGGACTGAGGAGGATGGCTGAGGAGGATGACTGAGATGCAAGAGGAGGAGGAGGAGGAGGACTCAGGAGGAGGAGGAGGAGGAGGACTGAGGAGGACTGAGAAGGAGGAGGACTGAGGAGGATGGCTGAGGAGGATGGCTGGGGCCGGGGAGGATGGCTGAGGAGGATGACTGAGAAGGATGACTGAGAGGGAGGAGGATGAGGACTCAGGAGGAGGACTCAGGAGGAAGAGGACTCAGGAGGAGGACTTAGGAGAAATGAGAAGGAGGACTGAGGAGAACTGAGGAGGAGGAGGAGGAGGAGGAGGAGGACTGAATAGGAGGAGGAGAAGGAGGGGGACTGGGAGAGGACTGGGGAGGAGGAGGACTGATGAGAAGGATGAAGAGGAGGACCCAGGAGGAGGAGGACTGAGGACCCAGGAGGAAGAGGAGGAGGATGAAGAGGAGGAGGAGGACCCAGGAGGAGGAGGACTGAGGAGGATGGCTGAGGAGGATGACTGAGAGAGAAGAGGAGGAGGAGGAGGAGGAGGACTCAGGAGGAGGAGGAGGAGGAGGAGGACTGAGGAGGACTGAGAAGAAGGAGGACTGAGGAGGAGGAGGAGGACTGAATAGGAGGAGGAGGATGGGGACTGGGAGAGGACTGAGGAGGAGGATAGAGGACTGAGGAGAAGGATGAGGAGGAGGACTGAGGAGGACTAAGGACCCAGGAGGAAGAGGAGGAGGAGGACCCAGGAGGAGGACCCAGGAGGAGGACTCAGGAGGAGGAGGAGGACTGGGGAGGAGGACTGTTGAGGACTGATGAGGAGAACTGAGGACGAGGAGGAGGAGTAGGAGGAGGACTGAGGAGGGGAGGAGGAAGAGGACTGAGGAAGATCAGGAAGACCCAGGAGGAGGAGGAGGAAGAGTAGGAGGAGGAAGCATCTAAATGTTATTTCCATTTTTGTCCGTTTTTGTCCATTTTTTTCCGTTTTTGTCCGCTCTATTTTTTGTCCGTTTTGAAAATATAGGGTACCGAACGGACAAAAAACATGATCCCCCTATAACAGCAAAAAATGAACATTTTATTTAGCAATTTAGGTGTCCATTAATGTCCGCCTATGTCCGCCTATGTCCGTCTATGTCCGCCTATGTCCGCCTATGTCCGTCTATGTCCGCCTATGTCCGCCTATGTCCTGTCCTTTTTGGATTCTATGAGACAAGCGGACATAGACGGACGTGACACCCCCCCCCCCCCCCAATACTACAAGTAAACACTTTAAAAACAGAAAAGGAAAGTAAAACTGATGTTTCAACTCACATCGTCATCGTAAGATGTAGTATGGTGCTGAGAAGACGTCCTCATTTCCTCTTCCTCGTCCTCACTCTCCAACTGGGGATAAATATTTGTTTTGTAAAAATGAGATATGCTTTGACTTCGTAACTTTAATGCAAAAATAAAAATGGTCATCTAAACCATTTAACTGTAGAGATGAATTTGAAGAAAACACATGCCAAAAATAGACTTACAGTTTTTTATACGGAGCCGATCCAGTTTTGAGCTTAGATTAATTCGTCTAATATAAAACATTTAAAAAACATAATTATTTGGTTGAATAGTGATCGGTAAAAGTAAAAAGTAGTTAAGACTTACATCTACACGAATAGCACTATCGTTAATAGAGCTGCCCTCACTACTACCAATAGAAGAGCGACGTGCTCGCATACTTGAACGGAGCTGCTGGATAGGGAAACACTCGGCTGCTTCCTCTATTTCCATGTCTAGCTGACTGTACGGTATCGCTATTATCTAGTCGGGATGATTAGTTATTAAACAACGGATAAAGTAAGTAGGAATTGACATATTCATCATTTTAGCTAATCTTTAGAAAGTACTTTAAGCTGCACCACCGGCATAAAAACAACGGAAAATAGGTAACTGAGTTTACTAACCCGACGTTGGTTGTCGTAGATGGCGAGTATTTGTGTAGCCCAGTTGGCTAGATACAGTCCATCGTCCGGCACAATGCCCTCCGGTGATTTGTTGAGTAGGTGTAAGAACCGCGATAACTCGTGTATACATTCCCTGCGGAGAAGTTGATGATAAATCCAGACTTACTTTATTCCATAGGGAATATTTCTGGAATTTTCTGCAGTCTTATCAATAGAAATAAAAAATGCAAGTCAAATAGAGATTAATTAAGTCGCACCTGTACGTATAAAAGGCTTCGGTATCAGCACTCAAAGGTTTTGCGTCTCTTCTGAGTGCGTTCAAAATAACAAGGAATTTAAAACGCTCGTCTTGCAAGTTTTGAGCAATCTCGTCAAACTTTCGCTTCTCTTCCCCTTTCAATAAATTACCAGCATCTGCGAGTGATAACAAGTTAAAATTTTACAAATACTTGAAACTTTGTTCTTCTATTTTACTATTTTACCATTTTAGCATAACTTTTCATCGTTAAAAGATGTACTCGTACAATTAGACAGCTTATCTCAAATAATCTATCTGTAAATAAATCAGTTCGCCTATTTATGAACATAACTAATGATCGCTATACTATTCATTGAAGGTAGATTGAAATCTGAGCTTGCACTGCGATGCAACTGTGCAGGTAAGACAGTAAAACTGACAGAACGGCAAATACTGACAAGTACTTACTCAGCATGAAAGGATCTGATATGAGTTTTGACTTTGACATAGCGACTCTGTCTGAATTAACTCCTTCAACATCGGGATTGGGGTTAGTTAGCACAATGTTTCCTCCTCCGCTGGAATTGTGGGGTATTATGTTTTATACATTCTATTACACATTCCATAATTCCAGTGGGACCTAATATCAGGACACTCAGGAATGCGATGATGATTAATTTCGGTTCCTCGACCTAACGCGCGTTTGTTATGCGCGCATTCACTAATGATTGACAATAACAACTTTCATCATGTATAAACAAAATGTATGCTGACAATTTAGGCCTTTCGAGCCGCGCGCACATGACATATCATACATTATCTGGATCAGACAATATTACCGCTGACCGCAGATTAATATCTCGATGTAAACACAAAATGAATGCTATGGATCGGTCTATTGCTGGGACATGCTCTTAACTAAACAATATTAAGGCTAAACCGTTCGTGTAACCACTAACCAGCAATAACCATATCAGTTACAAGTTTCAAACTGATACTCAGATAATGGTTATGTTAGCAGCATACATTAGCCATTATTATTAGAATATGTTATATTCTCATAACGATTTACAATTGGAGGAAAAAATATAGTTTAACTTTCCGCACTAAGGGGAAATTAATTAGTGCAGAAGAATTAAGAATCAAGGTATCTCGTTTTCATATCAAATAGATCTGAAAACATCACCATATCCTATGTGGATCAAAAGCACACATTCCATGGCATGTAAGTAAACAATTCGGACCCTGGATCATACTATAATATGCACCTGCTGCTTTGTGAAACAATATACCACATTTCACAACAATGTAGCCAGACGTATTAAATTACAAAATATCAGACTAGTTTCTGTACTGTGGCACTGGTAACTACATGAAGGCGTATAATTATACTAATTATATGATTACCATTTAATTACTGTTGTATGTGACCTGGGACAATACAGTGACCAGTGATAAATATCATTACAAGATTAGAAGTAGTTGAAAGTAGTTGTCACGAGCACATAAAACTTACGATGGTTTCGAAAGCTCCTTGACAGTTCTTACAATAATATACCGAACAATATCAAGTGCAATTCGTCTGCTTAATTAAAGGACATCTGATATGTATAAAAAATAAAGTCAACAGCATAAAAAACACAGTTATCATTACAGTTATTTACACAGTAATTACACAGCAATTATACTGTAATTACACAACAACTTACTTGGTAGAGTCGTGTTTGCGATTTCTTAGTTTCCAGCACATTATAAGGACGAATATGACTAGGATGAGAACTACAGCTAATACTATAGCTATAATTAGCACTGGGTCCATCCCTGAAAAAGTAATTAGTGGGTTATATTTAGGTAATTGGGTGATAATTAGGTAATTGGGTTTTAATGGCCTATTAAGGGGGCATACCCCAAATCTGTCCAGACCTAATGACCTCATAGGCAGTTCAGTGACCTTCTAGCGCACCGTTTCCACACCAAAAAAAATTATTTTGAGAATTCCCATTTTTGTAATCGAGCATTTCCTGGTTAAGAGTGCAATTTTCGGAAAAAATTATTTTGTGGTTGAGACGCTATAAGTTAATTATTTCTTGCGGTATCGGGTTGAAATTTTGCTCGCCGTTTATTTGGCTTTGCAGATAAAAAAATCACATTTTCTCCCATAACTTCAAAGGGAAGCATTTTAGGGTGTTTTGTTGTTCATAACTCATATATAAATGTGCTAGTTGCAGTTATTTTGCACCCTTCAAAAAGTCACTAGCACATTCCTATCAAAATTTTAGAAAAATCAGTAAATATTAAAAACGAAAAATGTGCCTAAATTTGTTGTTTGGCTTTGAGGTCCAATAGATCACAAGGTGAATGAGTAAAAACATTTTTGAGGGCATCAAAAACTGCGCCAGAATTCAGAGAACAATTTGATGTCAAGCATCAAATAATCCGATCTTCCCTGACTGACTTTTTGTTAAAATAAGCCTGAAAAGGACTATTTTAGCTTTTTGACTTTAAAAATTCATAACACACCAGCCTTTTTAGATACGATATCAAGATTTTACACACACCTCGACATAGATGTGAATAAACGGCGAGCAAAATTTCAACCCGATACCGCAAGAAATAATTAACTTATAGCGTCTCAACCACAAAATAATTTTTTCCGAAAATTGCACTCTTAACCAGGAAATGCTCGATTACAAAAATGGGAATTCTCAAAATAATTTTTTTTGGTGTGGAAACGGTGCGCTAGAAGGTCACTGAAATGCCTATGAGGTCATTTGGTCTGGACGGCACAAACCACTGTTTTGGGGTATGCCCCCTTAATTGGACTCTTGATGGAATGTACTAAAAACTGGAAGCTTGTGATTCAAATATTTTATTCTTGAGAAGTTCTGAACGAGAGTGATATTTGATAAAGTGAAATTACACACCCATATTATATTGATTTGAGTCGTGCAAATGATTATTATCTACACATGCAGGATTACAAAATACGGTGGTTTTAACATTTAATGACGTCACAAGATTGCAGAACGTCATAAACTGTGAATAGTATCATTTCTCTATCAGGTTACAGTAGAGCTGGTATGTTCAAGTTGAGCTGTGTTTTAAATCGATCATTTTACTTATTTAAAGTCAGATGTAAGATGCGTGCTGGGGTTTTAATCCAAATTTTACAGCTGAATTGGTTTGCCAACTGTATTTTCGGTTTACCTAAAAAGCAATCAAAATCACAGTTGACAAGAGAATTACGACAGAAGATCACAGAGAAACATTAAGTACAATATTACGAAGTTATTATTGTCACGACTGTAAATATGGGGTTATTTATTTCCATGAGGAAGAAAATAGACGATTCTGTGGACAAAACAATTCAACATTTTAAACACAAATTATTGGCACGTGCTGGTCTCATAAAATATGTATTATGTACAGTAAATCAGCAATGGACTATGTCAACTTGGAGTCAGGATTTGAAGGAAAAACATAAATTTGGTTAGACTATTATTTGATATTTAACGACTACAGACATCATAAAAAACGCACAAGAAACATTGGTTAACTTCAACATGGACTACTCCCGAGTCATATGATCATTATTCGTTCTTATTATTATTATAAGCTGGATTTAAAGTACACTGCCCCACTACCGTAGCAAATACATGCTATATAACGTGCTATGTTTTTAAAGTTATGTTGGCAGTGTAAATATAATCATATTTCAGATTTAATTCATGCTTCAAAACAAACAAAACTAGCAGTTAGAAATATATGCTGAGAAAAAGGTAGAAAAAGGTAGAAAAAGATCTAAGATCAGCAGCTAGAGGATCAGAAAAATCAGAACTGAGCGATCAGTTAAACCACAGAGAACATATTATGATCAGATTAAAAGTAATCGCAATAGCATCATTCCAGAGGAGTAGAATTATTAAAGATATTGAACATGCCAGGATGGTGCAAGCATCAACTTACCATGGTTAAGGTACTATGTGACGGTTTCAGCAACATGGCTATTTAAAAGTTCAGTTAAAACTCAAAAATTCAGTATAAGTTCACTCGAAATTCAAAATCACAATAAACAAAATTGTAGTTAGAAGTACAAAGTAAATCCCAGATTTGCACAGGGTTTTACAAAACAAAAGGGTTAAACAGTAAGTACAGAATGGCAAGCCTAAAATATATGCTTTATAAATTGTATATTGATCAATGTCCGGAACATTTATTTATAAAATTTTCTTTTCTTCTCGAATTGTATAATATTTAGATATATATTATGTTATATTACACCCCTTTTATAACACCGATCGACGATTCTAGCAAGTAATATGAACAGTGTTGTGATTATAAAGCGCAAATGATGTAAACGTATAATTGAAATTTTACAGTCGTTTAAAGAGGCATCATGTAGCCTCCAGGCTCGACAAACCCCGTCAAACCCCGACAAACCCCGACATATCCCGACAAACGGGGTTTGTCAGGGTTTGTCGAGGGGTTTTGCCTCGGGCCTACCGGCCACATGAGGCCTTCTTGTATAGTGTTTTTCCACGTAAAGCTTGATGACTCCGTCTCGGCTTTTTGTTGGGAGACTCAAAAAAAAAAAAAAAAAAAAAAAAAAAAGCCTCCAGGCTAGACAAACCGGAAACCCCGACAAACCCTGACAAACCCCGACAAACCCCGACAAACCCCGACAAACCCTGACAAACCCCGACGTGTCGAGATATGTCGTATCATGTCGGGCCCACCGGCTACATGATGCCTTTAAAGCCTCTGGAGCAATATTTTAAATTACGTAATGCATTCTAGAAGATTTTTCACGCTGTAATGTACTGTCCCTGAATTATGGGATTGAAAATTCAATATGGCTCATGATTCATGAAATATACCACATAAAAAACACGGATGCTAACCAATAAATTATTTGCGAAGCAGGTTTAAATTATGTTCAGGAATTATTAAATTGTAAGGTCGATGCCATCGAACAAAGTTAAGTGGAAAGATGTAATTTTTGTCGATTATATATAATATTTTAAAACTTACATAATATAATGTGTTTTACAGGCAAATTAAACATTCACTAAAGCTCGTGTTCAATCTTATAACTATATCACTCTCTAGTCACAATCTTCCGTGATCTAAATATATCATTAAATACTGTAATATACTCGTTAAGTGGTACAAATTAGGTAAAGCGAAATTGATCACTGTTAACAAATTTGTGTTCATAATATTATGATAAAAGCAAGTAACAGTGTCAAAATAAGAGTATTATAGATATTAGATGAGATCAAACTCATGTAAAATCGAAGATTATGCTAAACAATAGTACACTGCAATAAACCGATTTTGCTACAGAAGCTACCAATTAAATAATTAAATTTGTCTATTGTTTACCAAAAACATTGTGTTATTCATCGAATTGACGGACGAATAATTGCCCGTGACACTGTTTTATAGGCACAACATAATGCCCAATCTACAAAAGCAATTATAATCTTTTGTCTATGAGTTAAAGGCGGGTACTAAATTAAAACAAACCATAAGTAATCTTTGTCTTATGTTAGTGTCAGGACAGAAAGGATTATTCTGCCTTTGACTCCCTTCTGACATATAGACCATCTATTATAAATTCATTATTAAGCCTGAGAATATCATGACATCATGTCTAAGGTAGATATGGTAAAGCTATATTTAGGACCGCAGATGATGTATTTCTACCGGAAACCAACATGTCAGAAGTCATGTCACTTTAAGATTTGATTGTATCTAGATACAATTGGGCCAGGGATCTGTATAATTAATAAATTCGATTCAATTCGATTATTTTTAAAAGTGCCACTATTATTAGGGAAGAGCATTTACAATTGTTCCTGACATTTTGATATAACCGATCACACTTGATATAATTATCAATTGAGGTTACTGCAGAAGTGAGACCACAATGTATCATATATGATACATTTGTATGAGATTGTATGGACCTGTCACAAGTAAATATTACTAATTCAGCTGATTAGCTGTAGCCCCTAGTACTAGAGGGGGCATTTTAATCAAATAATTGGTTTATCAAGGAGCCAAAAACAGTTGAGAGGCCAGAACCATGTGATGAGCAGAACTAAAAAAAGCTAGGCAGAAAATTATGTAAAAATGTAAAAATCATCTGTACAGGTAGGACCCAGGGGTTGAGACCTCCTACACACTGGGACTCTGCCAAGTCTAATACCTGAAACGTATGAACTTATACAGTAAAACCCCATTTACAGATATATCCTCAATGTATAGCAAACATTGAAACACTGATTTGCCAGGAAACCTGATTCATTTGGAAATTTGTGGGGTTAAAACAGTACACATGCATGTAAACAGAAGTGCTACTGCATGAGTTAAATGAGCCATTACTGAATACTGCTTTTGAAAGCTAAATACATCAGCGATAGAATTACAACTGCAATAAGAACCTTACCAGTGTTGGAATCGTTATCATTGTCTTCTGACATAGCACAGCAACTGGGAGTCTATTTCCTATAAACCCCACATTCATGGTCCTATTTGAGTATCGTTTTTAAATATTAATTATATCAATTAGACCATGCATCTATTCATAGATCATATTCTCAATTTCTGATGTAATGCTATTGATAAATCATGTGTCGTGTAACAACCACCATTTGATTTTAATTTAAATCAGAAATAAACTTTTTACAACACCATAGTATCAGTCACTTGCTATTTTACACCATCTTCAAATTTCTAGAATGACCACAGATAGTGGTTAAAAATTTAAACATTATAAACACAACTCAAACCCAACACAAGTAATAATACCATGTGTTGCACCTTTTTTATTTTTAAGAGAGGCTGGACCTAGGTGAACCACGAGAGGATAGCAAGGATTTCAAGGTATACATTTACAAGGATCGCAAATCAAAAGTTGTATATTACAACCATGAAGATGCTCTGCCTGCCTCAGGGGTATGGCATCCCTAATGGATGCCGGAGTTATCAGTTTGGAGATCTTTAAGTAAAAGTGTCAAGCGAGAAATAGCTAATAGGGTGTGAATGAATACTGTAGCAGTAATGGGGTGGCAAGCAGTGATGATGGGTGACGATCAGCAGGAGTGACATGAACCACATGAGTGTGGTCTTTAGGTCACTCCTGCCTATTGCACCCTAGTGTGCCATCAAACCACATCTTAGCATGCACAGAACACTGTTAATACACCGAGAGAGGTGTTGTCTAAGACCGTGAAATATCACAGTCGGTCAACATTCATACTTCAAAAGCATTCTTCTATCTGAAAACTCAATAGTGCTGCAGGCAAATATGGATGTGTCTTGTAGTTGACACATACCAGATAGCAGCAAACAAATTTATAAGGAGATGACAAATGCTTAAAATCTGTAGAAGGTGCAACATATGATGTTACGCCACACTCTAGAATCAAATAATGATTCTCGCAACAGGATCGTAGACTGCCGATACGAGCTGGGAAGGATTGACATTATCAATTACAATTTGCATATTATTAATATTGTATAAAGTTTTGAAAATAAGACAATATCACCCTAATATACTATTTTCATTGATAAACGATGGTTATCTAGCTCTCTTATCTATATTTTATCACTACATTACAACTGCTGCTGAGCTGGTACTATGTTTTAATTTTATTCAAGTACAAGCTAGTACACGATGGAGGAAAAGAATACTCTTTTCAGATTACTCTTCCTGGATTACTGAAGAGCATGAGGACTATAACAGTCGGATCACTGAACTTGCTGAAGCTTCGAACTGTGACAATAAATCAGAGTTTTCAGTTGAAACGTTCCAAAAGCTAGTAAAATACAATTTAGTAAAATACAATTTTACTAAATTGTGCTTACAGAAGAGAGTTTGACAAAGGTTTACAGAATGTTGTATCGGAAGAGGATCACAGTAGGAATGTGCTAATCTTTGGTTTGAAGGAGACTGATGAAGAGAAACTGTGCAATAAAGTGAGGGACTAAATGTTATAAAAATGGTACAAATTTTTAAAACTGGGGAAAAAATAAAACCCTTTGTAATATATAACCAAGCTGGATGTGGGCGAGATGAAAAAAAAGAGAAAAAAAAGAAAAAAAAGAAAGAAGAACTGAGAAAACAGAAAGAAGAGTTTCTATCACAAAGGTTCAAGGTGCTTTATAATGGGTCAGATCATCTTCTTAAGAACCACTTAACCAAGCAAGAGAGAAGGGAGCATCAACATGGCTTTCAGCATTACCTCTAAAGGACCTCAACTATGTTCTAAACAAGCAAGAGTTCCAAGACAGCATACGCCTACGCTATGGATGGAAGATCCAAGGAGTGCCCTCTAAATGTGCTTGCGGACATGCAAACAGTGTCTACCACTCCCTTAATTATAAATTAGGTGGATACGTTTGCATGCGCCACAATGCCATTAGAGACACTGCAGCTTTCTTCCTTCAAGAAGCAAAGTGTAAGGATGTAAGGATAGAACCTGCACTCCTACCTGTCCAACCAACTTCATTCTCCAGGAAGACCAACACCCAGGATGAAGCCCGTCTGGATGTAGCAGCTGTTGGACTGTATGCACCATTCGAAAGAAAATTCTTTGACATCAGGGTCACTCATCCTAATTGCGACTCAAACACATTTAAGCCACCAGATAAAATCTACAGTGCGCATGAGAAAGAGAAGAAAGATCTCTATGAGGAGAGAGTACTTCAGTCAGACAAAGGGTCCTTTGTCCCACTAGTCTTTACAACACCCGGAGGCTAGGTATGGGCCCACTCTGCACTGTGTTTGTAGATCATATTTCTGAAAGGATAGCTGACCACAAAAAAGAAGCTAAGAGCCAGGTCAAAAATCACATCAGAACACGATTCAGGTTTGATCTGCTACGAAGCACACTCATAGCACTCAGGGGAATCAGAGTAAGACAAAAAGCCCAGCACCTTGGACTGGATGACGTATCCTTCAATCTCATTCCTCAGAAGACGAGCTTTGAGGTCTCTTAAGTTTGTTTATGTAAATAATATATATTTTTTTAAATAGTTAATGATAAAGAATATTCAAACAATATACACATAATATAGCAATGGCCAATTGGCTGACTATAAGGTCATGGCCTGGACAAACAATTGTATTAAATAGTCAAGTGATGCTAAAGCAGAGCACAAATGTGTAATAAGTTAATAGATTAAAAAACTGATTCATGTGATGCATTACGCAGAGCACAGATAAAAATACTGATTCAATGATTAAAATTATAGCTGTGAGTGTCAATAAATTACTGTGTCATAAAAAAGAAACGATGTACACGTGATCTGAGATACCAATATCTCAATATCAAAAGGATAGTGTCTAGAAACATTCATAGTCCATGGTGGCAGGTATCAAGTTAAACGAAGTTACACTGACTGGCAATGTATACGATTGCCGTCTCCCTCTCTCACCCCTGACCGCTATCAGGGTGCTCCTGAGGATTGAGAATCTAATCCTGGTGCGCATGTAACACATAATAGCCGCATAGTCTTCTCCTCTCTTCTGGGATAGTTTTTCAGCGAGTCTCTTGTGGTATCTTGTGGCTTGTGGACCCCATCCACCATTTGTTGAGTATATAAGTGGGGTAAAGGTGCCTTTTTCCACCTGGATGATTCTGTTGTTGTACTTTTTCATTTTCCTCATTTCATGAGCTTTATAGATCTGTTCCATATCTTTTTGTCATATGTGGGTGAGTTGGGGTGGGTAACACAGACATCAAAGAATGTTCGTTCAAATGTGCTCCAGAGACCTCGTGAGGATACATCAGGTGCAGCTCTATCAGCATTGGTACCAACAATTTCTTCATTATCAAGGGGTATCAATGCTGGCTCAGTCACTACATCTCTGCATACTTCACGCTGCAGCTCTGCATTTAGATCGCGGATGTTGTTGTGTCTCATAGAAACATAGCCACCTTTCTTGCATATAAGTGTGTGTAGTTAATGATTAAATTACACATCGAAATGATAATCAATTAAAAGGAAAAGAAGTTCTGAAATCCTGCAATAACGATAGAAATATTAAAAGGTTGTCAAATAATTTTTTATCAGAGCATGTTATCAGCCTTTGGAATACATTTTATAATAAATTGTTTCAAACAGTATACACATAATGTCACAATGACCCTATATAAAAATAACCCTTCAAAAATTCAATATTTTGAAAATCACTCTTGGCCTTGCGGCTCCAAGTTCAAATCTAAACTGTCTACATTGACAAAGTTCTTTCTCGCCCCTCTGTCTCCCCGGAGATTATGTAAATTATATAGATAATTTTTATATTACTAAGACTAAAAAGACCATTAAGTCTCAGTTCCAGCCCCCATGGTATGACTCCGACTGTGATCGTCTCCTACGAAATAAGGAGAAATGGAGAATAAGGCATAAGGGGAGCAACTCTGAGTCTCATAAACAAAAGTTTCGTGCATTTCGTACAAAATTTAAAAATTTGATGGACGAAAGAATGAGACTCAGTGTTGAGGATGACTCCGATGATGCTCTTATCTCCAAGAAATTCTGGACCTACGTTAAATCTAAATCAAAGTCAACCAGGATCCCTGAAACTGTCAAATATCATAATCGCTTTCGAAACAATCCATCTGATCAAGCTGCCCTTTTTAACGAATATTTTTATGAGCAGTTTTCTCAAGAGAGCGATTATGGCATTGGCATAGATTTTCGTGATGATTGTTTTTCAAGTCTTGTGTTTAGTAGAGAAGATGTTCTGTTGATTCTTAAAAAGTTAAATCCTAACAAGGCCCCTGGCCCTGATGGGATTCATGGGAGAGTCCTCAAAAACTGTGCCCAAAGCCTTGCATACCCACTTAGTGTTTTATTTAACCTGTCTTTCTCGAGCGGATGCATACCCCCTGATTGGAAGCTGGCACTTGTAGTACCAGTGCACAAAAAGGGCGATAAGTCTTCGGTTGAGAACTACAGGCCTATCTCGTTAACATCTCTTGTAATGAAAGTCTTTGAAAGGTGCATAAAGACTGCATTATACGCTGCATGTTCTGATCTGTTGGATGACCGACAACTCGGTTTTGTTCATGAACGTTCATGCACAACCCAAATGATACCTTTCACGGACAATCTTGCACTTGCATTGAATAACAGGTCCAGGACTGATATAATATATTTTGATTTTGCGAAAGCTTTTGATAGCGTTTCGCATGACCTCATTTTAAGTAAATTAAAGAATATTTTTGTGTGTCCGTCCTGGGCGAAGTATCAGACAGACTTCCTGTTCTCTATGGCGTTCCACAGGGGAGCTGCCTTGGGCCTCTCCTGTTTTTAATATACATAAATGACTTAACAAACTCTCAACTCGATAACACTAGCTATGTCCTATTTGCTGATGATACAAACATATTTGTAGTTGCCAAAACTAGAGCTGAGGCCTACAATAATGCAAATAGGGTCCTACGATCAGTCCACGAGTACACATTGGCTAATAAATTACATGTTAACGCCAAGAAAAGTTGCTACATAGAATTCAATACA